GCGCTGAGAACATAAAGAGCAGTGCTACACCCTTTTTTCACTTGTGCCTTTCAGGTGAACGACAGCCACTGACCGACAAGAACAAAACCGACCCGGGAGACTTGGGCAAAAGCCTCGATCCTGTGTATCAATCCGTGAATCCGTGAATCCGTGAACTTAACTTAATGCATCTGGTTGACGGATATTTTATACTAAGGGGAAATTTATGACCGGGCCGTTTCCATTTCGAAAAATGCAAACGAACAAAAAGATCACGTTGGATTTCCCGAGTAATGCGAATACAATTACCAATCACATACCAAACCTGATGCGAAACTGCTTTGCCAATTTTAAGCGCAGTCAAATCAATCGCGGTTAAAAAGCCAAGGTGGTCCTTAGATTTTTATTCAGCTGCGCACATCCAATCACCAGTCGCAATAGGGCAGAGGCAAACCTCTACGTTCCATAGGCAGTCTGGGAGTCAGCAACTGGCGAAAACCAAATACTGATGCTGCGCATCCAAAGAGCGAAACGCTCTACGAGTATCCTCTTTTACTGCAAGCGCTTCGGCAATCGGATTAACACTGTACCACTCATCTTGATGCTAGATGTTCGCGGGTGACATACTTAGACGCGACACTCGCAAAACATGTAATCTAGAAAATGGGCACAGTGCTGGCGGGACTCACGCGAATATACTGATTTTACCCCTTATTTTATTGTCTGACAACCCACAGGAAGCCTCCTCATTCGTAGGTTATTGGTTGAGCATGTTGGCAGTGGCTGAATGTGAATTCGCATAAGGGATTTCGGCGGGAAATTATCTTCTTTTTAGACGAAATGCTGCTAACCCGAGGACCTTAAGTGAAATGCAAAAGAAAAATCTAAACAAAAAATTATTCATTAGTGCATCCTAGTCCGGAGTTTGTAGAAGAACCCGTCGTGCTTCAATCCTGATTTTTTCTATAAGGGGTTGTCTAAGTTGGATGACGGCGAAATGGCTGTATTTATCTAAGTTTAAGCGAAGCTGGCTATAAGGTCATTCCACGAGTTCTCGTCTGAAAAATCGGTGGGCCAGAAGTTGTGTTTCCGGTGCATCGTCACGAATAAAAGCCGATAATTTCACGCCAAAAAGTGATTATCACAAGCAGCGCTTCCCGACTTTCCGCTCTAGGTCCACCTCTGGCTTCAACCGACATCAACGGCCTGGGTAAAGGCCCCCACACCCATTGCGCCGTCATCACAGAGGACATTGAGGCTGTCGGTGATCACCCAGGATAGGCTATAAGGTCTCGCCAGACCTTTATGATTGGTACGGCTAAACTTTTCTCAAACATCCGGAAAGACTCGGCTGAACAAGTTTACGGGAAAAAGTGCAGTTTTTGGAGTCCGTCAGGATATAAATAAGCCAGGTTTAGCAGAGAACTCGCTCAGGCCTTTTTATTCAGTGGTCAAACGTTTAAACATACATAATGTGGCGGAAAATGGACCATGTAAGTGGTTTGTCGTTCATCGAGTTTAGTGGTTTCAAAGCATCTTTATTTGCTCATTCGTACCCCACAAGCTTTACCAGGCCACAGGAGAAGCAACCGGATAAGTCTTACTCCCCCTCTACCGATAGAAACTGGTGAACCAGAGGATTCAAAGGCGTTAGTCATGCGGCTTGTATGGGCGGTCACGCTTATGGGAGAAGACGAGGGAGGGGCGACATTATACCGAAAATAGGAGGCCCCGAAGCGAACTGATGCCAAACTTCAGGCTGTCAGGAGCCATATAGGTGAAGGCCCAGGTTAACTTCACTTAAACTGAATGAATCCAGGGGCACAGTTTCTCCCCGAAGTGCTTTACTTTTTTGTTTTCTCGATGTTCCCTACCTCACGAGTGGTGTAGTGGTTGGCTACCCAAGAAGCTACTTCATCAGGAGTGTATGGCAAAGAAGTAAAAATAATAATGCTAGACTGAGTATACAAAAATAGTTCGTCGATGGTTCAGGTCAACTAATAAACAATAATCAATCATGGTTGCTCAGTTCCTACATATAATGGATTCCGAACATAGTCTGAAATATTTTGATAACAGACTTAGCGCAGGAATCTCGCACACTGCCGCTGAGAGCGAGCGAAATCAGAAGAGAGAGAAGGAGCACTTGACCACGTTTGTATTATGTAAAATTGTACAAAATGCGCGTTCTTGCAGTTTTTCTTATTCAGACAAAATGTTTATGCAATGGAGAAAATAAGTAATGTATAAGTGAAGCAAAAGAAAGGTATAAATAACCGTGATGGTCATCCGTTGAGAATGTAAATCACAGCGAGCCGTAACCTCCATAAACGTCCTACTCGGAATAAGCCTGTAGCGTGTGAGTGGGGCCAATTTCCCTTCGCTCAAGTAGAACTCCACCTCGAAGTGTAAATGATCGATATGTCGTCAGTGTGGCTCATAACATGAGTCACAATTATTGCCTGATTCCTTCGTTGCTATCGCCTAGATGGAACATATACGTCTCCTACATTTGAACTGATGACAGTCCTCAAAGATTTACCACCGCAAGGAAGGATCCTCAGAGCAAGAACTGTAAGAAATTAGATATTATCCGGCCTTGGCTGGGTTCCTGGCATCGAAAACTATAGATGCGTCCACCAAAAACAGTGGATGGGACATAGCACGTTCGTCCTCGTTTCAGAATATTCGACCAAAAGTCCAACACTAATCCCGCACCGAACCAAGTAGTACGGCCCGTAAATACTAACTCCTGCGCAAGTTAACCGAATTAATTGCATCCATTCTTTGTACCATTTGTACATATTGCAGTGGCGTTTGACCTTGACACCAAAACAACTTTTTAGTGGTTTTTGTGTATGACGGCCCATATGACGGAAATGACAGACCAAGTTGCACCTGGTTTGGCACATAAGGTCCGCTTCATTCAAGATCATTTTAGATGCTTTAATGGGGATCATCTCCCAGCTGGTTTGTCGTTGCACAATCCTTTCCTAACACCACTGACAACCACTGCACATGTAGAAAAATCCAATGAACCCGTTCGTTCAATCAGTCAAACGGATCAGAAGAATTTAGACTCAACAAACTCCTTTGGATACATCCGTTTTCCAACAAGTCTCGGCCAGGGAAACCTGGTAACAGAGGTAAGATTTAGTTTAGGTTTTATTTGTAGAGGAAGCAGTTGATGTGGATCATCCAACGAAAGAAAGAAATGAATTAGGGGTATATACAATCTATCCAGTACGAGTTATTTATGAGATGTGGCACTGAGTAATTCCAAAGCCAATTTTTCGACAGATCGGGCTTAAGAATTTTAATGGTTTTATATTCGTCCATGTAATTGGCATGTCAAAGGCCTTCTTGGAATCACTCGCGTATCTTTGCTTGATGGACAGAAGAATCCTGGCGAGTCAGTGGCTCAGCATTCGAAATCAATGGGTTTCAGGCGGGGTTTTCAGAATAGAGTTGATTGTGTCTCACATCAAATTCCCCACAGAAAACAAAATGTGGGTAGGCTGTTGATTAGTGCCAGGAGTTGGTCCAACTTTGAAGGTCTGTGCCCATCACAGGAATTTTGTCGGAATGATGAAATGACTTCGTTCGGACTACCGGTTTTGGTGCTGAGAATAACATCTGATTCAGTAGAACGCCAGATAGTTGATAAAAGCAGGGAGAATGACGCAGCTAAATCTAGCAGGGTTACCGACGGCCTTTCGTATTTTGGCCATAGCGTATAGCCGGACTTGAGAGTTTTTGCCGGCCGGCAATGATGGTGCGCTTGTAATGCGTTCGTGGGTGGATGAAAATTTCTACTCCTCAAATAAGCCGCGACGAAAGCCATAGGGTAAGGGCGCATGTCGAAAGAAACTGACTTCAAGTGTTCAAGTCCTGCAGTAGACATGTTTGCGGGCATCAAGCCAACTGCCACGATTCGTGGTATCCCGTCTTTACAGTTGGTTGATTCTTTGTGGGTGTGTGGCTTTGATTGTGGCTGATACTTACATTTGGAATGAACAATGACTAGTTATTATATATTTGACCGCAAAAATGTATATGTATTTGACATTAAGCTGAAAGTTTAACAGCTCTTAACATCATTTTCTACACATTTTTATTGTTTCATATAAATTCCTGTGGCCGAATCAAAAGCGCGACCCCTAATCACACCATTGGTATCAGCTATTTAGTTGGATTATGGCCGTTATCCAGGCAGGCAGTTGTGAAATTCGGCTACCACAAGAGCAGTTGTTTTCATCAAATGGTCATTATTTCCGAAGGAAATTTGATCAAAATCAACTTACGGGGGTTTTAGGTCACAAAAAAGCAATAGAGAATATGGTTTTAAAGCAACCATGTCATAAAACAATTACCTAAATTTAATAAAACACCTAAGGATAAACGTGAAGGCCGAATACATGAATGTAGTCCACAGAGTATGCGGAGTACATAGGACAAAGTGACAATATAGAATAGATTATACCTATATATATATATATCATATAACTATACACACCAGGTACGTCACAATTTTAGTTAACTCAAAACGGACAAGATTAGGAATGCCTCCTGGAAAACAGCGATAACAATCCCGCACGCTAACTTGTTGTATTTTCAGAACTGAAATTTAGTGCCCGTTGACTGGGCTATGTCTTAATTGGCTCAGTTTGATGGAAAAGAAGAAAATACCAAAAGGCAGACGTCATCGGAAAACTCGTTTAATGATGTATGTTAAGGTAAAAAGGCTCAGTATTTTTAAACGTTTTTGCATAGCTGAAATTGTCAGAAGTCGTCGTCGAAAACACTATTACGTGTGTAAGGTACGTTCAAATTTCGAAGGAAATATTTAAACCAAAGCAATTCTCGAGATGAAAATTTCGCCACCAAGAAGTAAAGAGGAACCCCAGAACAAGTGCATCGCTCATTAAAGAAAAGGACTAGACTTCAGTTAAGGAAGAAATGACTGGGTTATCTTAGTGTAATGGAAGAAGTTTTATCCAAATAAAACATAAATACCGCAGAAAATGTCAAAATACCTGCTTCTAGATACCCAAAATGGGTTTTATGCTATCGTGTATAAGATCAAGAAAACCATTTTCTTAACTATGCATAGTGTTTGTGAAGAATGGTTGACCCGGACTTTTGGCCAAATGGCTTTTCCTACTCCCTATTGACATTGTCACTTGGTTATTCTTACTCACATTCTCAGAGACCATCTCTTAGTGAATGGGAATCAGTTTTCTCCAGTAATTCTGTCTTTTAATGCGCACAGGAGTCACAACGCAAACAAAGCCTATGTTTTCTAAATGACAACTACATTATTGTCGTGATCTGGCAGTTCAACTCATTAGATGGACAAAACAGAATACGCCTAGTCTAGTGGGTGCATTTAGATGGACGTTCTTTACTGAAAGTTTAAAAGCTCGAAAGTTCCATAAATTATGGGATACCTCTCTAAAGAAGACGCATATGCAAACTGTTATTTTATAATTTGAACCTATTTGATAATTGCTTTGTACGTATGATTACTTATCTGTTTCGGCCTCAGAGCAGTACGGAAGTTTTTTACTACTACAAACGTGCACTAAACAGTTTTCATGTAGTTGCCGTACACAAGCAGGACGAAAATCAACCCTACACTCCGTACCTTACTGACTGTTAGCATTTTCCTGGATTCTTCTTGATACTGCGCCAAAATGCACATTTGTTGTATTTTCTCGGTTTGTTCGAATATCTAATTCAGTTTAGCGACGAGTGAACACTCGTCAGAAACAAAGCAGGTTGATCTTGGTGAGTTACTCGTCACTGAATTCCGCTGCAGAGAAGCTTGGTACAGCTTTTTTACGCCCTATTTTTTCTTATCTTTAGTACGTACGAATTGCGCACAGTGACAAAGTGGAAGATGTAATGTCGCTAATGGGCATTCACTGGCGCTTCAAACATCCAAGAATCGTACGCAACGGGAATGAAGGAGACGGCATGCATGCTGAAAATCTTGTTTTTGAAGATTGCCGAAAAGAATTGCTGAAAACAGTAAGAGAAACAACGCATTTGAAACGTGATTTTGTAGGATATACGCGATTTTACTTCTGCTTGCATTATGAATCACGAGTCCCTTTTTATACACTTAGATTCCAAAGGGATCCAAGCTCAGAAGAATACCGGACACTGCATGGCAAGTGGAACTGGATAAGAACCCACGACTCTGTATTGCAGTCTTGGGAGGAGAGGAAAATTTCGTCTTGGAAGAGAGCAAGAGTGAAACGTTTAAAAAAGTGAGAGTAATTCAAAATTTAATCCAAGGTTAACAGTGACCTTCAATGTCTCTTCGCGTTGTGTTTGTAGTAGTAATTTAGCCAATTAAAGCAGTAAGCGTTGAAATAAGCTGAATCTACTCTACTTACGCTACATGGGAAATGTGAGGCACTGAGCTGCTATAAATATAACAATTGGGCAGGTAAATGAGGCTAGTGGCAACAGAGTGAATTTAATTGTAAAACTTTGCCAGTTGTTTGTACAAGCATCGAAATACATATACCATAGAATTGGAGTTTTTATACGACTTTTGAGTAACACTGCGAATCTAAAGCTACTGTGCGTTTAAAAAGCACTATAGCAGAACTAATTAGACCCCATTGGCATTTATTACCGTGGGTAGAATAATTCAGTTTGTTACGTTTCCAGCTTTCAGTAGTATGTGTAATTTTTGTGGCACACATGTAAAAGCAAATCAACTTATCAGTCATGGCATAGAAGTAAAACGATATCATTAACACACTACATGCCTTAAATCAAAAATTATCTTATGAGTGTCTTAATGAGCTGCTCAAGGCTTGCTTCAGTCTTTTGCACACGTTTTTTCTATAGTTCTCCTTACGTACAGAACAATACTGTGAACCTATTCAATTTCTGACTCGGAAGCATATGCGCAGTGAATAGGACATTGAACACCAAAAATGTGCTTTTACGAGGACCTGTGTGAACAGGTTAGCAAAATATTGGCCAACGGAAAATTTTAATTAGTATAAAATCAGGCGGTTCATTATTGAGCATCTTATGGTGACCGCATGTTCGTCCCATCCAGATGAACGCTGCTTGTGCCAACTGGCTGCCACCGCTCATACACGGGTACATATCCACATTAATAGAACAGACTTTGCACTCTTGGCCAACCCAATCGACATAGTTGAAAGTTTTAGGCAATGGCATCGATTTCTTCAAACTATTTTTCGTACTATAATCTCGATTGACTGGCTTTAGACAGATTATCAGAGGACCAAAAAACGTCAAATGATGTAGAACGTACTCTTGTGGAGTATGGCTTGAAGAACAACGAGTAAATTAGAAATTGTCTGTGCAAACCAATCGGCATTTCAGTTTCTTGTAATCTTACTTAATCCATGATTGCACAGATTTCAACCGTGTCATGATCCATTGACAGTAGGCCTCAATTCCAAAGTAACTGTGTTCGTGATCTGGCTGTTGACCCAGTAAAGAATAGAAACAAGATTCTGGAAATCACTTTCAATGAATTTAGTGAAACATTTACCCGTAATTCGACAGGTTTCAGATAAAACCAGGTGGTTACTCGAAGTGTATCACGCGACACAAATAATGTCCCAAACCGAGAAACTAATTGCCATCCCAATAACTACAAAAGAATACCTGAAACAATTTTTTTGGGAGTTATAGACTACCTCTGTTCCGAATAAAGAGTTTTTCCTTGTTCAATGACTTTCTATCTATATCTATCCAAAGGGTCTCATCAATGCAGCAGAAACAACTGACGGATGGATAATAACCACCGGTTTGAATAAGGGAGTCGTCCGAATTTTGAGTGAAGCTCTGGAGGATCATCATACCCGCTGCCTGGACCCTCAGTCAAATAGACTTCGTTGTCTTGGAATCGTGTTGTGGAGAAGTGTACGCAACCGTCTTATTCTTGAATCAAATGTAGGTGCGATGATATCAGTTGACATTTCATTCAAAAATGGTGTAAGCATTAAGTTGATGTCCTTTTAGAGGCTGTATATGTTTCCAGGTTTTGTCATTATTTAACTACGTCAGAATCAACAAAGAATGGTAACGTTTTCAGTAATTTTAAATCGATTAGAAACCTTCAATTCCTGAGGAAACAATTGATTTGACTTGTATTTTTTTGTTTCTGACCCGAGGCAGTAATTTATGACAACAAATTATGTAGATTGAGCTATCTTGGGGAACTTGTATAGTTTGAAGGTTAAATGGTTCGACCACTTTGTTCTACATCACTTCTGAATTCTTGTCACTTTGTGCGTTTGCAGCACATAGCCCACTGGTATTAATCTTTGGTATCTTAAGCCGAAAGCACTCACAAGTGAACTGGAGGTCTCCTTATTTTGCCAAATATACAGGTCGGTACTACCGACCGGTTAAGTAGTCTGTGTTCCGTATGTTCATAAAGTAGAACATTTGTTAATGCCACTAGTTTTAATGAGTTAAAACCTGTTTGAGATATTTTAAAAGAATATCTCGCCTCCTACCTTATTTAAACTTCTCTCAGGATGTAAAAGTGACCGATTTGCAGAATCACGATCTACACCCAATTGAAATCTAGTACAGCATACTGGCACAGTAGGTCTGAAGAACTGTGGACGTCCGTGACCACAAACCCGAGTTGTTGATTGCTCTGAAATAGTAACAGAGAAGTGCTCGCTGAAGGCGTAAAAAGTGATCTGGGAGGCTGTTATGACGAAAAGTTGGAAACTTTCGTCGAAATGTTCATTGTGGAAGGGATAGTGCCATGGCTTCATCCAGTAATTTTGTGGAGAGCATTTTCGATGTTTTAAAGTCATGTGATCATCGCAATAGTTCTGTGAGTTTTGAGGTGGACTGCTGATGAGGGCTGACATTTACTTGTCAAAGATCACTTTATGATCATCAAAGAGAGAGCCACTATGATCTTGCCGCGAAGTGCATTTTATGAAGGCTATGCAACCTTATCACTTCAGACCTCCGAGCTCATCTCAGTAATTGTATTCTTGCAACCTCCCTAATTTTTCCGCCAGAAAAGGCGTTCGCTTAGAGGAGCTGACCGCAGGATGGACATTCTTCTGAAAGAATGATTAAACCAGAAAAAATCGAAAAAGTACTTCAAACGAAACGTATTTAAGGTGGGCTTTTAACCGCTACAATTTCGGTCAGATAAAATGAGGCCAAATCTGCATGTCACAAGAACGCATTTTGAGCCTTAGAAGAGTTGCATATGAAGTACACCCTCCCCATTATTTTTGCAATCTGTCATTCCTTTGTCTTTAATGGATAGCTGACCTGACGAACCCAACCGGCGCTCACCCTTGGGGTGCATAAGTAACGTAGGACCTCGTGTTATGAATGATTGAAGGAGTTATACGAAATTGTAGGTCGAATATCGGAGCACCACTCCACAAAATCTGGGCTTAGATGTTGAATGAAAGGAACGAGACTCGAATTTGCAACAATCGGGATGATGAACGCTTTATTCGGCAAATTTCCTTAAACAGTATGATGTGAATATGTTGATTTTTCAGCGGAAACCCAGTTTAAGTGACGCTAGTCTTTGTAACCAAACCATGTGGTTGTAGTAGTTGGATTGAGGTATGCCACTTGGAATAAAATGGTAAGCGTATTTCTGTGAAGGTTTCTTATCAACCCAACCGTTTCCATCCGATCCATGATTTTTCATCTCAGACGTACACAGGTCCCGCTGATTATGTCGAAACCATGTCGACCGACGAACCAAACACGGCATATCTGGAACGGCATCACACACACTATTTGTTTGTGGACGATGGAAATCGCCTTACGAATGGTGAAAACAAAGCTGTAGAATTCTGCACTTCCCTCTGCAAAGCGCTATCAAAACCAATGATAAGTAAGCGGCACTTCACACATCGAAATGAAAGTATTTGCTTGTGATTTAGTGCCGCCATGAAACCTTCGGTACTTTTCAATTTTCCGAGGCACTCTTGAAAAACTGACTTCCACTCACACGCAAACTCGCCATTCAACATGACTTCTCCATGGTATTTCCGCGTGAGCTTAGGAAAACTGACTTTATAAGGGGTGGAAAATTCATGAAACAAACCACTTAGGTGAATAGCTGCCCTTAAACGCCGACCCTTAAACATCCTCCTAGCCAAGCAAACAACTTCCGCTCCCAACTTTGTCGGTTTTTATTTATGTCAAATGCAATCTTTAGTTTTTTCAGCAGATTTGATTGTCCTGTTCTGAATCAAACAAGGAACCGACTTGGAATGTGTCGTTCTGGCAGATGGTCTCTTCGGAGAACCCAACTAACACAAAAGGTTTGGGGAGCAACTAAACATAACCTTATCCGAGAAGTGATCTTATATAAGGGTGAAAGAAATCTCTCACAGGGATCTATTTTTCTGACTGAATAATTGCCAGATCTTGCGGTTTTGTCCTGTAGGCAAAAATCATATAGGTTGACAGAAATTCTCTTTAAGAACCTTAAACAGAGCTTCGTCAATACTAAATTATGGGAAAACAGATGCAAATTCCTGATAACTGCCGGAACACCCGCCTCTTTTACGGTCGAATCAACTCAGGATGTAAGAGCTTCGGCAGGATGCTTCACATCTGTCGTGGTCAAACCCTATATTTGGTACTAAATCCTGCCTGTCCATACTCAGGAGACTTGGTGTGGTTTTCTTTATTCGACTTGCTGCACCCTGTTAGACGGAATGTGAGGCACTGTGAACTTCAGGCCCAACTACCCGTTTTCGTATACAAAACGAATTAATTCCAACGCTGTAAAGAATCAGGTCGTAGAGACACTGCTTAATCTCCCCTTCCACAATACTTTCAACTTGAAATACATTTGGGGCAGATATCACAGCGTTTTTACTGGACTTTGCAAAACACAGGCGTACTTAACATCCTGCTATCTTTCTGTTACGGCTGTAGAATCTGCCTCTTTTTGATGAATAAACCGTTTTTCACCACAATCAGCGGATGGAAAACCCAATATCTAAAATATGAGTTGACTTGCCACAGGATGTAGCTCCCGGAAGTTCTACTACATGTCTTTTGCTACTAACATCTCGTTTCGAGTCATCTTGCTCCATTGCGCTTTGGTTCACGTTAGTTGATCAGTGGACATTTGAGAGGGGGAAATGACTGATGATCCAGTGAGTTACAGATTCAAGTCAGATTTGTTCTGCATGGCGCCACATGCCTCGTCTGTTAAGGTAGTAAAAAATGGGCAAACCTGATGGTATCGGGAAACAAACTGCTTACCAGAAGGTGAGCCAGAGGTACAACAAGTGTTTGTCATTAAATTTTATGCTGAATTAAGCGACCAACTAACGTTCAAGTGTGACCCCAGTTACCAGCACAATCAGCCATCTTCAGATGGAAGACATCTCTTACAAGGTGACGAATATCTTAACCAGTTGCCCAAAACCACGAACTAACATATGTATGAGGCCAACACGTTCGGGTCGTGGATCAGGTTTACAGGTGTAGACCGATCAGAAAGCTGGTGAATATTAGCCGATTGGTGTATACGCAGTGGTATTCTGGCACACAACATCCCAAAGTACCGCTTACGCAACTTGCATGGATGATCCAACAATTTGACCCCAACAAATATATTACTTGAGGATCGAACCTAGGTTACCCCAGCCAGAACTGCGGGATATTCTGTTGGTAAGCCTCTGAGGGCGGTGCAGTGATTTGCACTGCATCCGACACATGGAATACGACACAGTATTTACGAAAACCAAAGAACGGAGACGTACCAGTGTCACAGTAATGAGTCAGTCCACAGAGCTTCCATCCTGGACACGACCTTTGACGAGGAACAAAGTTGTTGTTTCTATCAACCAACTAGTTTTTGAACTTATGCGCGGCAACATTTTGATCTGTGTCTGTTGGGACCTCAATGGAAGGGTATCCCCATGTAATGAAACGTCTTTTTACTCACACACTAAAGAACAAACACTGTATTCTCGACAAATGGTTGACCTGTGTTTGTCTGATTAGTGATAGGTTATATCTTGGAAAAAACTTTATCATTGGGAAGTAAAACATAAATCGGTTTAGAGAGAAACACTGTATGATTGCCCTTTGATCAGACAAATATTACCTTACCTATCCAGTTGTCTGTTGCAGTGGCTGCTACTGATTCATCATTTTGAAGGTCGTGGGCTTGTTCAAGCATGATCGTCTTCTTTTTGCATTCTGATGATCTAAGATCTGGAACTGGTATTTCTCCTTGGCTGAATTTCTACTTTTCACACACAAAGTCCTCACAAATTTGAGAAAATTTACACTATCCGTTCATTTCAGAACAAGGATGGGCGATCCCTGTTGTGGCAGTAGTTCTCAACGGTGGTGTGGACGTACTTGAAGCAGCTCAAAAATTCATTCGACAACAATTGCCAGTCTTTGTGTGTGCAGGAAGCGGTCGAGCAGCCGACCTCATAGGCTTGGCCTATTCTCTTCGTCTGAAGTACACTGGCCTGTAAGTTAAAACCGAGCAGACCCAAATCATCTTCTGTACAATGAAAAAGCCCTTCTAAATTTAATTTCAGAAGCCTTAAAGACGAAACTACCGGAGGTCAGGACTCCAACTTATCGGATCCACTGTTTTGCATAAATAAAGTTGGAGAACTAGACTTCCCGCGGTTGAGTTTTTTTACTTTACGCATCCATTTTCATTTACCGTGAGACTTGGTAGTAGTGGTCGAAGGAGCGCAGTCCTGGGTTGAATAGCTGGGGAAAATTTTCACCGACTGACTCTATTACAATGGACCGAAGTTTCCTGTATTCCGTTTGAGTCGAGCTCCGTGGAATGTAAGTTACTTCTTGCTCTGAATAAGCAGAGAGAGGCATATACTGCTGCTTGGCTTTTAAGTAGAAATGCTCGTTCAAAACCGAGTTGTGACCGTACTCTGGTTTTAACTGACTTGGAAGAATTTTAAAAAAATTTTCATTCAATAACCTTTGAATTCATCCTGTTTTAGAGTTCGTTTGGCAGGTTGGCTCCCCGAATTACTGCAGACCATCATTGCAGACCCCCTGTCTTAAGCGTCTGCTGGATGCTGTGTGTTGACTGCTAGCTTTTTGTCTGAGTAAACAGCGTAATTTCTGCTCCAAGATTCAACTTTGGTACGGGTTAAAAACTTCAGCAAAGTTGACTAATCACTTTCAACATCGTGGACATGGAGACAAAATTTGGTAGCCAAGGTTTTGTGGTAGACGGGTGAACTTTTCATCGCGGGCTTGGTAGTTTTCTTCAAGCCATTTCGTCCCCACTCGAAATAACTCACCAGTCTATGGTGATGTAACGGCATGCCAGCGTGCAATTCTGCATGATTCAACTCTCAGTAGATTTATCCCCACCTACACAGTACCCGCAATTTTCGTTTTCGCTATATAAATATGAGCATTCTATATTTGCTACTTCGGTGAAGAAAGTTGATCTCGCTCACCTTCTACTATTTATATTTGCTCGCTTTTTACACAGAACTTTTGACACCTTTCATCAGACTCATCTTCATCTGCTGCATCGAAAGGCTACGGATATGCTGCAGCTGACCAGTGGCACTAACACTCATGGCATCATCTCGATGCTACAAGAAATCGTGCGGGATCCCTCACTACTAACGGTCTGCGATATGAACGTACTCCAGAATCTGGATGTGGAAATTTTGTATGCTGTGCTCAGTTCAATGTCTGGTCTGACTAGAAAACAGTTGGAACTAAGCCTGTCTTGGAACCGGAGTGATCTAGCTGAGAGAGCACTATTTCAACGAGGGATTCCAGTCGATTCAGGTAAAATCCGCCGAACGATAGACAAGATGTTGCCCACGATTCTTTTGACGCACATATAACTCAACCCCAATCCATAAAATCTGGTCACTGCGCTTCCAAGGTAGCATTTTGTTACAGCTTTCGAATTTTTGTCTTTTACTCGAGGGCAAATCAAATTTGGTTTCTCATCTACATCACAGTTTAGCCGTAATAACCGAGTGATTTCACGACCGTGAGGAGGTTTGCGCTATATTCGCTTTAGTTATTGATGGAACGATAGCTATTGGAACGATGGATCCTTTAAAAGAGCTTCATGTTCAGTACGCATTGTACAGGAATTCTATTTCGTAGGGGATCAAACACTGATGAAATGCAGACAAACGTAACAGGTTTTTACCCATCTTAAACATCTGACCCAAAAGCCACTTTATTTTCGCAGAAAACTGCAGTGATTGCATCCATCCCCCAGAACAGGGGCCTTCTCTACAGAAAAGTCCACTATGCCTCTGTTCAGGCGGTTCGCTGTAGTGCACCAATCGTAATTCACTCTTGTAAGATTCGTTCATCTGTAGGCAGTGTTTTGCCTTTTGTGAGGTGATGAGTAGGGTTGGCTTCCTAACAAAGTAAATGCGATCAGGATTCGACCCGCGAACTCGAGACTCCTGAGCTATCATCAGATTTCCAGATATCAACTTCGTGGTCCATGTAGATGTATTCTGAGCTTATTCACACACACACACACACACACACTTAAACCGACAGAACTCCTTTCGTCCGGACAAACATGTCATATTTTTGTTTAGTTTGATTTTTTACTCATTTGTGTGCGTCCTTCAGTCATTTTACGCGTTTCTTATGGTCAAACCGTCACTCCTGCATGCCATAGAGAGCTCTTCAATTCACTTAATTTTTCCATCCGACAGATCTTTTGAGTCCGTTAATGAAGGAGGCCATGCTCGAGGACAAGGCGGACTTTGTTAAATTTTTCCTGCAAAATGGTGTTTCCATGCAAAAGTTTCTCACGTTGGAACGCCTTCATCAGCTCTACAACCCCTGGAAAGTGACGGAAAACGATGACGACGATGCTGACGATTCGGAATGTTCACCCTATAAAAATGACCAGATATTCCTTTCAACACTTGCCAAGGTTCTGAATAGACGTCTGTCAACATTTAGCCATAAGGTGTATGCACTGGATACACCGGTACGTTGGATTGTAACAAGTTATTGATTAGATATGTCCACCCCTAGCTAGAATCGGGATTAATTTAGCTCTTTATTGTTTCAGTTGGTAACAACTTTATGCCACCGAGTGTTCTTGAATACTGATACACGGTCGACAAGTCTTGAATTCACTCTATATGATTTCATAGTATCGTTACTCTCCACAGGCTCGTAAGGCGGTATTAAGTGAAAAGTGATTATTCATTTACCAGCCAGTTTTGATTTGTAAACTGTCCGCAGTAAAATTCACGAGTTGTGTTGACCCTATCGGCATACAGTGCACGAAACAATTAAAGTTCACGTGCTCACGCTTGAGCGATGTGACTGGTGTGCCCGACTCATCGAACGATGACACACTAACTGGTTGTGACGATCGATCCATCCAATCAGCACTTCCCAGTCTGGGAGTGTCACAGACGCTTGAAACTCACTGGGCAACTTTTTGGTTTCAGTTTTGTGGTTTTGCGGGATAAGTACTTTGTTCATGTTCACACCACTCTCGTTTGAAAGGTCGGCCTCCTGTTCTGGCGTAATTATTCCGGGTCCAGTGCTTCCATTTGGCGTGGACTCGCCGGAGTAATTACGCTAGAACAGGAGGATGACCGTTCAAACAAGAGCGGTGTGAAAATGAAAGAAATCGGGTTTCCTAGACACCAGTACTGCTATGCTGTGGCAGTAGTGAAGTACCAACAGCATATCTACGATAATTTCTCCCAGATTCCCAATGCGGGATGTATGTCTATACAGCACACGTATTGCCTGTTCCTCCAGTTCAACCCAAATGCATCACATCAGCAAGCGTAGTGGGTAGAATTTCACGGTGTCTCTCGGGTGAAGCACTGTATTATCCTAGTAAAGTATCATCATAATAATGGCTCCCGACAGTATCTGTGAGTTTATTTGTCCATCTCGCTCCGGTCTACCATAGATGTACAAGCTCACCTGCGGTATCACATTTTTCCCCTAGCAAAGTACACGCAGGCCTCTAGTTACTAGACTGTTCTTGATAAATAAAAACGTATTGTACAATAATCGTTCAGCCATAGCACCTTTCCGGTGCCTAGCTGTCAATCCACCCGAAGGTTGCACGAGGGCTGGGCTACTGCCAGGTTGCCTAAGCCTAAATAGGGAAGTTGAGAGGCAGAGGTCGGGTTCGAACCACGGACCTTCCGCGGGTTCGAACACGACCTTCCCGGCAAGAAATTCGTGTTCCAACCAATGAGCCATACGTATCGAATTTCAAGCAAGCATCTAGACGGAAGCAAATATCCGTCCTTGGTACTGTTCACTAAAGTGATTCTGTAACTCCATTCAAGCCATCGAATGAAACCAGATGAAGTAATGAGTGACTCTGCATGGCTGGGTTCTTGGTGTGTGCGACAGCTGCTCCATTACAGTGATGAAACTATGTAACATGGAGATTCGGTCCACTGATTCAACGCTGAACTGAGGTCCCTTCAGGTTTTGTCGCTGTGAAGATTTTTCACAAAAACGTTCATTTTCAATATCATTTTGTCCGACAATCGCTCGGACTGGAGTATTGTCAAACTGTCTAACATTTCAAGCCGTTTGCCCGTCTTTATCATCGTATACCACAATTACTCAGGATGACTTCCTGATCCGTCGTCTTTCTGGACGACCATTAGAAGAGTCCACATGAGAGAACTCATGTTATCCACTGAAGTCAGTAGAGCAGAAACACTAGATATCCGGGACTCAGTTTAATCAGTCTTATTTTCACATGATATGTATTGATCGATGAGTTCTATTTACAAGGTTGGAATCCAATTTCCTGAGCACAAAGACACGTCTTGGAATCGGTTGTAGCTACCAAATTCCCGCTGTAGCAACTGAGCTACTGGTAAGTCTCGTCCAAGGACGACCTTATGCGCCCGAACTCTATAGCTGAATTGCCAAAACACTACCTTATGGAATGAAAATCGATATAAATCGGTATCAGTAATGAGCCCTCCTGTTTGACTTCTACAGTGGTCCGGAGGTTAAGAAACCCAAAGCATATTGATGTAGATTGTGAGGGAAATTTATTAATTTGCATTCGGCCCTCCGGGTTTATAGACGATAGCAACATCCAGTCCACCGTGGAAGTCACAGAAGGAGTTTACTAGTGACACTGGCAGATATTAGTCTTCCCCCCACTAGACATAAGTGTAAAGAATCAGCTGCGAAATTCGGGTCCACAAGCGTGAAGCAGGGCCAGCGTCCTTGGTAGCTCAGTAAACGGATGCTTGACGGTTTGATCCGCCCTTAGGTGTGTCTCTTCTTTCGTGTTACGTATACCTGTAATTTTCGTTGCAAAATCTACTCGGCCCCTTTCTACTTCCTAACACTTCTTTCACTTAATCCACAATTAGGAAGTACACGAAAAGCTGGAGAGTTGGAACAAGGTTGCTGCGCATGAATTTGAATGTCCTTTCCAGGTAAGCTGTGAATCTTCCAAACTAGGCTATCAGTTTTGATGAAGGTGGGGTTGCTTTGGGCCCCAAGCTATCCGATTGGTTTTTCATGTGAACTGTAAAAGTACAATACAAAACAATATAGAAGAGCAAATATAACAAGATCCTCACTTCGTTTGAATCAGGAATAAATTCGTAAAGTGAAACGGTTTCACAGGTTACTTTGTGTCTAATTAAGATTAACTGGTGCCTTAGTGGTGCTTTTTGAGGTGATTCTCCACACCTGACATACCTTTGACCAGCTTCACAAAGGGTATGTTGATAGCTTTGCATTTAGAAGCTGGTCAGTGTTTCATAGTTCACTGGTATAGGACGGAAGCTTGAACGCCACACATAAGGTTTGATATCTCACGCTCTTTTGCCAAAATCTTTACCAAAATTCACCAAAAAGAATAATGATTTGTCTCGAACCAACAGACAGAGTGCCACTACAGCAGCAGAAAGCCACAAAATAATCAGAAAAATATTCAAAATCTGATGCTTTGGCCGCTAGACTTAGCTAATCACAAAAGCTACAATGTGACCAATACATTCCCCGTGCGGCTTTGTCGATCACACTTTGAAGTTTTGGTCTTCAACTCTTCAAAAACACTGCAATTTGACCAGATTTTGATCGCCTGCTGGATGATTAAAAACTTAATCCAATGGATCAGAATCTGAGAAATACTACATCTCGCAAGCTTTTAATCCCAACCGCTGATGAGTACTGAAACGAACAATATACTGGTAACTTCCGTTTTCATGCCTAAGGCAAGCAGAGAAATGACGGAAGACTTTATCCGCACTCGTTGTCCAGCAAGTGAACTGCGTTTACAACCCACATCTTAGCATGATCTGTCGGTAACACTTCTCTAGCTCGAGACATTGGACTCCACGAGGCCCAAAAACAAAGGATTCAACGGCCCAAGACATTTGTTAGACTATTCTTGGGACTGCCTTCTAAGCATACATCTTGTTTGGTGTAAGTTAGCCTCAGTGATTCTTGCGGCCATCCAATTCAGACTAGTGAGTGAAAGGTAAAATTCTTTTTTGTTTTTTTATGCACTTCGGCACGAAAGAAGCGACTGTGATTCTCCCTAAGGTAATTCAATTCAACCAAATAAATTGGAGAAGTCTGCCTCGAACTTTGGGCCGATTTGCATAAAAAGTTTGCTCCTTTTTGTTAAGGCTATTAGTGGCCATAGGAAGACCAATCAGCAGCACGAGTGTGTTTGTAGCTGCGTAGTCGATGCAGATGGGTTGTTGTGGAACTGTCTTTACAATACATCCACGTTGTGGAAAGCTGACATCCTCTTTAGACCGGAAACGTTTAGGCGATTTTAGCGAACTGCCGACATATGGCTAAAAACCATTTACTTTACTCTATCCATATTGCAAATTAGGATATATTTCTTGAAACGACAATATGTCAGTCGAAATGTTTTTCGGCCGATAGTTTTCTGCTTAGAGACTTGAAAGAAGAAATATCTCTTGAAATCTTGAATGTTTGCTCTACACAAATATTGTTGTTGGCCAAAGATCAAAAGTGCCCTTCAGAAAAGCGTCCTGATGATTTCTTTGGATAAGCCCACACTGAAGCAGCGTATATATCACTCTTATAGGCACTGTTTGTAGAATATGTTAAACCGCACCTTGGTCATCTTTCCAGGCATGTCTTCTGTTCAGCCAGGGGCGAACTTTTTTCAAGATTATCGTTATTATGGCCAACAGAACGCAATGGATGGAGCAATTGATAACCGCTTTTCTATTCTCTGTATTGTTTGTTCTGCGTGCGTGAAAATCATGCGGTGCGAATACCGGGTCAGTTGTACAGGATATAACATATACTACTTACTACGTCTCACTACCGGATTCGTCCTTCTTGGAGGTCATAAAGTAGGCTTAGTCACTAATTTTCCGCCGGGCTTACGTTCTGACTCGATACATTAACACCCATTTATGTGTCTAGTGTTCATGAGCTTTACTTCGCCGATGTCGGCGAAGGGTCACCACGAAATGACCTGACCTGTGCCTCTCTGAAGGTCTGAATGGCTCAGTCCGGTAGATCGTGGAAACATCAACAGGGAGGATAATTTACGATCTAGCCATTCAGTTGGACGTTGCTGTTATAAAACAACGTCAGAAGAGTTTTCAGCAACCTTGTGGGTAGTTTCCTTTATGAAAACTCCAGAAATACTTTGGGGTTTTTCGCGCGGGCAGTGGGGTAACTGCAGAATCCGTGGACGTCTAATCATATAAATATTGAAACACCCTGCTCCCAAAACCCTCAGCAGATCGACTGAACACCGGAGATCCGAGCAACTGGCCAACAACGATTTCAGCGAAGCCTAGTGCATGCGACTCAAGTCAGTGCTATTTCTGAATACATTGTCCCAATAGTGTCGAGTGTATTTTTTAAGGAACTTGTTACATTTGTGACTAGAGCGAGGTGCAGCAGATAATTCAACAGAGTTTTTAAAGGAATAAGGCGTCATTCTGTTCCTCTAAAGTGTGATTAACAAAAATGTACCCTCTTCTCTTTTTGTTTCAAAGGAGCTCTTCTTGTGGGCCCTACTCTGTCAAAGACCAAATTTATCCCTATTTGCTTGGGAGCGCAGTCAAAATACAGTGACACTGGCTTTATTTTCGTGCATGCTATATCAAGACATTATCAAGTCTCTTCCACGCTACGATACGGAGAGCAAACAAATGTACAAAAAACGAATCGAAACATACGAATCACTTTCGGTTGGAGTTTTGATGGAATGTCACAAACGAGATCCGGTATGTTTAATTGAAATTTAACCAAGTCGTGAATAATTTTGGTCTAACTTGTGACAGTGTGGCCATTGCGGATGCGATAACCGATTATTGATCAGCTAGTTGGCGGTTGATATATCCGACAAGTTAGGAAACTCATCTAGATACTTTTTCGTACACTGAGGATACCCTCTCAAATTCTGTCGGAACTTTTGTAAGCAAATTTCGAGCGCTGGATAGCTGAGTGGTTAGAGCGCGAATTTACTGACCGGTAGACCGTGGTTCGAACTCGACTTCCACTGTCTGGACTTGGGCAGCCTGGCAGTATCCCAGTCCTCCTGCTTCCTTCTGAGGCAGTTATGCACCGCAAGGGTGCTACAGCTGAACAAAATTTCTAGCGCGGATGACTACGAACCGCCATCTGATTAACTACTAACCTAAGTGGCACAAAGCAATATCGGTTTCTCTTTCCTCGTGACATATTAATGACAGTGGAGAATAGTGTCCTCTGTTTCACCTTTACTCCGCATTGTCACTATCCTAAATTGTTTGGAACAACTGAAAAAAGACTGTATGCTCCTGAGCAGAACAATGTTTGCCCCGAAGCTCACAAATCTGCTCCCCTTGTACTGCATCACCTGTAGTTGAGGTGAATGTTAGAATTGGATGGATAGACGTTCCGCTAATGGGGGCAAAGCACCTTTCAAGGCTGGACAGGTGATTAAAATCCGCTGTGAGCGACCACCATGCATTTAGCATACATATAGCTGCGTGTCCATTTTAGCCTCCAAGCTGCGCAGTACGACATTATCTTGAAGTGGAACCTATACTGCTGAAACACGACAGACGTACCCTTTGCACCCAGAATTGTTTGACAAACTCCGCTCACTGTGGCTCATGCACGTTTGTTTACTTTTCCACTGTGTGACTTAGTTAAGTTTATGCAAGCAGACAAGAGGGTTGGCTTTTTTCAAAAAAAATAATAAACCTGGCTAAGGTTTATCTTAGCGTTCCCAATCATTTCCGCGTTCGGATATTGCACAACGGTGTTGTCAAGCTTGTAGCCCTCGATATATTCTCGAGTTTCACAGCGGTGTCAAGTATATCGGTATCAAAGATTGCTAATTTGGTTTGGCTAATTTCTAAAGGAATGACCGGTGGATTAAGACAACCGGATAGAATCTGATAACAATCTGTCCTCTTTAATTAGCTTGTTTCCACTGAGTCAAACGAAGGTGGTCAATCGGTTACCGGATCAAATAGAATTGGCCAGGAGTCATGTATCCTGGGCAAAGATCGTTAATTCTTTTAGAGAAATTTCGCGTAGCTTTATTATTGTTGAGAGTGTTGGCTTTCAAATGGATTTCTGTCTTGCTACTGAAACAAAAGAGCTTTTTTGTGGAAATATCTTTTTGTTCGACGTTTATTGTTGCACTATGTCTTCTATCTCTGGGCTCCTTCAAAGCCATTCCGTGTGGCAAACTGCTGAGCGCAGATCTTCAATACTAAGAGGAAGTTCTGAATGCCTTTCTAGACTTGTCAGATAAAATGGCGGTGTGCTTTGCCAACGAAATTTGAACAACAAAGTAGGGCGAAGCTCACCAATTGGATTCTCTACACATGCTCAAGCCGTTTCTTCATAGAATTTATTGAATGAATACAAAATTCGAGCTACCGTTCTCCTGTTGGTCATCATCCTGTCTTGTTTCCAAAGGTCTAAACTGGTTGACGCACATATCAACAGCCGCTTATGGATAGGTTGAATTGTTGGCAAACTTCCGGATCGACTTGTCATGTTAGCACCAAAAAGAGAAAATATATCCGAGTAGTTGAAAAATATTAAAGTGAATAGAAATTTTCGATTAGTGTTGCGGAGGTATATTACCGACAGCTTTGATATTCCAATCTGCTGTTGGTAATACATTATCATTGTAGTTAAACAGGGGTTAAATTTGATCAGAAACGGTCCCTTGCATGCATACAAGCAAAGGGACTTGTCAAGATGTACCCTTATTGATTAAGTTGAGCATGGTCTTGATTTCGATTCTGACTCTTCGACTTGCAGGAAGAACGCGCCCGTCACTGCTGTACATTTGGTAAGCTACCACCACCTTTCGAAGCAGATTCCTTTTGCGTAAGAGTTGTGACGTTAGATTATCTTTTCCAAATACATACCATTCCACTGAGGGTCATTTTTACACTTCCACAGGTTGGCCTTTCTAAGAGTGAAACAATGTAACCTGCTTGCTTCCTGCATTTGTTTGCTGAGATCACGATGCATTCCATCCCACTAGGTATCTGAAACCCATTCTAACTCGCCCTGCAGGATCTAACTCAACTGCTACTTGAATCGACGACACCAATCTGGGGTGGGTACAACTGTTTGGTCTTGGCAGCCGTGGAAGACAGGAAGCGGTTTTGCAGTACGACAGCCTACCAAAACTCGCTAACTTTTTCTTGGACAAACGGAATCAGGACCAGTACTCCTTTCCTACTTCTGACTTTGATGTGTCCGTTGGTTCTGCTTATCTCCGATCGTTATATCGAATTCATCAGTCCTGTGCGGCAGCGCATCGGTTCGAGGCACCAAAAAGAAGATGACATTGCGGAGGTCAAGGTCAACCGTACAGAAGAACCGGTGTCATTTTCCAAGAAAATTAGACGAATTTACACCGCTCCAGTGGTGAAATGTCTCCTTAGTTCGGTAAGTGTGTAGGACAGTGGTAAATTTTCCCCGGTCTTTCGTACAAACGCAAGTTCTGAACAACTCTCATCCATATCAGCAAAGGAATTAGAAAATGCACTCATTTGGAGGCAACCGTTTGAAGTTACATATTCACACTAAACCCAACAGAAAACAGTTCCTCTAAGGAGATTATCTCGTGCACCTACAAACCGCAGAAGAAGAGCATTTCATGTCTACACACCTGGATACTTTGCCTCTCAAAAGCGAGGATCGCAACCACCAACAGTTTAACTTGATTCATCTAGAGTCACGTGAAAACGGTAAATATCGGTAATTATCTGGTGCACCTACAAACCGCAGAAAAAAGGGCATTTCATGTTTACACAACTGGATACTTTGCCTCTAAAAAAGGCTCGCAACCACCGGCAGTTTAACTTTATTCATCTGGAGTCACGTGAAAACGGTAAATATCGGTAGCAAGGCGTTGTCTCACAACATCAACGTTAACTTTTTAGCCATACCTGGATTGGTCTACTGCATTTTTCAGTATTTAGAGTGAAACTTGGGATAGAACCCTGTGTGTTATGCCTTCACTTCAGGTTTCTCATCCCCGTTCTCGAGGCACTCATTTTCGTATCTACTCAAGGTGTGTAAGTTTTGTTTCCTTGGCAGTCTCGTTCGGAAAATCTATACTGTCGTTACTAGATTTTCAGGATCAATGCCAAACAAAAATACTGTTAACCGAACTGAGCACTGGATACACGCTGATACACAACAATATCTTTTCAAAGGGGATTTCTTGATTCTGTTTTATTCATCACGAATAACGAGAGGGGGAAAGAGACCGGACACCTATTTTGAATTTGTTTTCAAAGAATTGTATTCGATTTCACATCTAAAAACGAAACTAGGTTTTGGCTTCTGAGTCACCAGAAATATCGTTCTGAGCAGTGAAACATATCCGGACTTTACAAGCTGCTGTTCGAATTATCAATATCCGTAGTGCTCAAAGATGCCCTGTGTTTAGAGCACTGTTACACACACGTTCAGAAAACACTGTTTTGAGCAATGAACTGCCAACCGCGTAGCCAAAATTGCTTATATCGAAGCGCGTCACATTGATGATAATGTTTTCAGCATGTTACATCTCTCCGCCAAACGTTTAGTGCAGCCCAGCTGTTTGCGCTCACTCTGATCACACCACTCCTTCCACCAATATTATCTTCGAATAGACTACTAATCCATCCACAGTTTCGTTGATTTGCACACTGAGAAAACTGACAGGTTGTTTGCGAATCGAACACAACGACACACCGCACACTATCATCTGACCTTGACTCAACTCTGACCGAATGTGGGGTCCACTTGCTGACTGCCAGCTATCTTATTGGCCCAAGACATAGCTGAATTCTGCTCACCGTTTTAGCACTTATCATAACCTTTGTGCGGCAGATTCAACTGAAGAATAGCGTAAACGAGAGACCCAGTCAAGTCTCCTGTGAAAACCAGATCGGTTTGCAAACGAGTGTATTTTTCGAATCAAGTGGAACATACGGTAGACGGAAACTCGGGGACTGCACCTAGCCGATGAGCCCCAAGAAGAGTGAAACCGGTCGTGGGTGCTGAAGCATTTTCAGCTATTTGTGATTAGTTTCCTTTGTAAAAATGCAGTTTAGGTTTATTCTTGCGTAATACGGATAATCCGTGTGTTTCGGGATGACTGACCAGTACGCAGGGCTGCAAATTCACTTCATTGGTTCAGCCTGGGTAAGAATGTACCCAGATCGTTGGTTCTAGCCGAGGAGGAACCCTGTTTTAGATCTTTTCATACCAAATGATCTTTATTCACTAAACAGTGACTGGACTGTCCTTTCAAAGAGGAAACACCTCTTTCTAGGAAGTACCTTGTTGACTTCTGACGATCTTTTTCTAGAAAGACATGAACAATCCAGCAACATGAATGTAACTTAAATTTTGAGCCACGTGGATGAGACATTTTGAGAACCATGGAATATGCTGCGTGAGAAATGTTTACACTGCGAAATTCTCGAAATAGAGTTGATCAGCCTGAAACTTTTAACTTCAAATCACTGGCTGGGAAGGCACTGATTCTTCAACTGCCTTGCACTTCACAAAGCACTCTATCAGCAGTTTTTGGATGGCGGACGACGTTGGGAGAACTTCATGCAGTCCGCATGGTGAAATCAGTGTCACTTTACACAACTTTAAAAGTGATGGGTAGAATGGAGAGAACTTCAAACCGAAGTCAGCGTTACCAAGAGAAAACGAAGTCATAGTTTGCGAGAGCATGACTCGACCCGAATAAGAAACAATGGAAGATGTTGCATACTGATGCGGAGTTTGACTCAAACGATGAGTTCTTGACCTTCCTGAATCAAGAATGACGCAAATTCAGTCCTTTCCTTTCATCTGCATAATAGCCTCAGTTTTCAACACTGATACTATTTTCCACGGACACCCCATCCAGCATAGATCAGTTAGTCACGGAGACACGAACCGTCACAGCACGGCAAGGTCCGCCTTGAGCTGACGGAAAGTATAATTAATGAGCTGTACAGATAGTCAAATGAGCCAGTCGAAACATATTATCAAAAATGAAAGGGCACCTTGGAGTTAGGCCTTTATACGTAAGCTAGTCCGAGGCGCATTACTGTAAATTATGCACGTACCTTCCAGCATAACACTCAACTACTGTTGGAAAATTCATTTTATCCCATTAAAAACAGTTAGGAGTCGGGTACATGTAAAATTTTACCAACCATTTTAACTTCTCATATGAGAGAGGAGTGGATTCGGTGTACCGAATTCCTAGGCAATTCCACCTTCTATTTCGATGATCAAGCATCCAAAAATGGATGGAACTACGAGTAAAACACCAAAAAGCAGGAATTTTCCCCACTATCTCTCCGAACGACAAATAAAGTATCTTCATATCGCGAGTTGAAGGCAATGTTTTGGTTTTTTTGCAGAAACGGTCTTACTCTCGGTCAAAACACAAGTCGCATTTACCGTAGTATGGTTTTGACAAATCCCCCGATCCTCAAAATCAATGGGCTAATTGTTGGAGGCAGGAGGTAGAGCAAAACCGCTTGCCGTTCGATCAGTCCGCCTATACAAATCTGTCTGTACCACTGCCTAGTATGAGCATGGCTGGCTGTTCTGTTGTGAGCATGGCTGTTGTGTCTGTTTCACAATCAGTGTGTTTATCCATCAGCGGAGTCAGTGGACCAAAGAACCGGAAGTATCTCCATTACTATGGTTATATCCGCTGAGACGTACACGCTGCAACAGTGTACCTGCGCAAATTTGATATATTGGTTAGGTGGTTATATTTCGTCACACGGTTCCAATACAATCTCATCGTAACTTCTCTGATCCTGCCATGAAGGCATTCTTTTCAGAGAACGAAGATTTAACATGTAACACCGATAAAACAACGCAAATCCGTTTCATTTCCTCTGGGAATTGTCAGCAGTGTGCACCTCATGAGTCTTCAATGAGTTCTGAAATCTCGACGTTTGGGCTGGTAACTGAACAGTTCACAGTTATTCAGTGGATCACCATCAGTGCGACAAACTTATACGTGGAAAAATCATAGCGTCAGCCAATGTAGGTGCGCTGCGCCATGTTGCTTCGACTCTTGGAATTAGTCACGTGAAAGTGCACCTTGAACAGTGAAGCGATCTTATTAAAGAGAGATGACCGAGTACCATCCAAAAGTCCTTGCCTGGTAGATCATGAGGAAGATGTGTTATGAATCTCGTGTGAATTTTAAAAGAAGGTTGGTCCAGTGGTTCAGCTCCATCAATCATCTAGTTAACAGAGGCTTCTTTGGGAAGAGAAATGCAACGCAATCGGTTTCATCTCATTTGTTTGTTGTTATCAGAGGGAGATAACGATACTTAATGAGCAAAGAAAGGTCCTTATTAGTGGTTGTTAAGTAAAAACCAACAGTTTGAGACTTTGGGATCCAGTCCACTCAAGCTCTTCTATTACGAACGTTAGCAAATTTAACCTTGAGATCCTGTGAATAACAGAGATAGTCGGTTTATCTAGGGAAGATAAGTTCGCACCGACTGCCGAATGTGATTCAAAAGAGGTGGGCCGTGCCTTTTCCTAATGAACGCCGGTATTTGTACAAATATTTTAACCCATTACCCAATTTTGATTAGAAAAAATTCCATGAAATCAAAGGCTATAAAGCTGAATCGCAACAAAATAAGCAATTTTGGTACAAAAATGCTTTGTCAAGAGGTGTGGAAAAAAGCCTACTTTTCCGACATTGTACATGTCTGCTATGCAACCCAAAGAGGACACAAATGCCGATCCACTAACAGGTTATTTGGAGTAGCAGATTCTACGACGAAAAAAGTGTTTGTTCTGATCACGTACTTCTCGGTTAGTGGTTGGTTGTCTATGCCACGAAGTTTAATTACAATGCCGTTTACATTTCACTGCCAACCTGTTAGAACATCTTGACTCGAAGCAAGGTTTGTAAGCTGCTTAAATAGTGAAGTATAGGTGCCCATTAGCCGAACAATACCTTCAGCTGCAAAACCTTTGCAAGTGGAGTAGAACTTTCTACGTCAGAATGTTGTATTCTATTGTGTATGTGCTCGAACCGAAAACCGTTCTAATCTTCTTTCATATTTCTGCAGCTCACCAAATTTCATTGTTCACTGAAGCAACCATGCCTCTGGCTGAAAAGTCCTGTGGGATAATTTCCCAGCCTAACTGAGACCCCAGGATGACTAAATGAAGCTTTAAAGTTTGAACTGGTACTCTCGACTCAATTGCCTGATCGCTTTAGTCCAATACTGAGCGCCTGAAGCAAGCAGTTGTTGTATGCAATCAATCTGCCCTTTTAATAATCGGAATCAGAAAATACCCTAAGCTGTCACCATAACACAAACTTTTTCAGCGTGGCTACAGTGATGATTGTCATAATTAAATGACCGCAATTCACGAAACACATGAATGAAGAGCGAATAAATTATTCAGATGACGAAAGTGTTTAGGAGAAGGTGTTTTCGTTTTCAGAACCTATGTACAAGGGCGAAAGCTCTACGAAAATAAGTGGAAATCTTTAGACAGAATAAGACAAAGATAAAGACATTTCAGTGTCCACAAATCTCACCTGATTGTTACCTCTCGTAATGGACTGTTTTTTAACATGATTCTGAATAATTCCCAGTTGCTGTGCAACGAAGGAGTGTCCATTTTGCAATCATGGTTATTCCGTGACATGAAAGATAGTCATATTGCGTTTCTAAGCAATACAAAAAGAGGCGATTACATAGCCTTCGCTCTGACACATCGTTCCGCATGCCTCCAGGGAATCAATGGACCAGTCAATGAACTTATCCATTATGTTCGTAGTCACACCACTCTCGTTTGAACGGCCATCCTCCTGTTCTGGCGTAATTACTGCGGTGAGTCCACATCAAAGGGAAGCACTGGACTCAAGTTTCGCTCTTGTTAGAGCTCATCAGCGGTGCGTATCCAATGGCCGTGCGGGGATTTGAAAGTCGGACATCTGACATGCGAGGCCAGCGTGTAACCACTACTCCACCAAAGCACGTTGGATGTATCTGAATTTTCACGTCTGAACTGGTGAACGTGATCAGACTGGAGCGATGTGATTGATGTGCCCGGCCCAATATGCTAGTTTGACTTGGTCTTCCCGGCTTTATCAGTAACTGTTCCATTGGATCCGTCAATATTTTGGGATGGTTTGTGTTAAATCTGTGTTAAACGTGAACGGTACGTGGTCTTCCCGCTGTAAACTTATCGATACTCACCTGAACAAGATTTTTTAGCCAAAAATAACGCTTTATTCATCGTCATCCCAATGTGATTGCACTAAACGGAGCAGAATAAAAAATTAGCTACTCACTCCTTATCCTTCCCTGGTATCCTTCAATGTTCAACCCCTGTGTTCATCCATCTTGCATCCCTTGTGTTTGTTCTGTCTGTCTATCAATAGTTGTGCTTAACACCCGAAATATGGTTATTGTGGTCCATTTTATCCTCAAGACCATTTTCTTTTTCGTTTTAAATTAGTCCCATTTTGTCCTAGTGATTCGTTCACATTCGGTCGTGCTAAAAGTCGACCTGATCCCATTCACACTCGCACGTGCTCTACACCAAGCCAGGACCGAATTTGCAGAACGCAAGTGGTTCTAGATGATTTGGGATAACGCTACGGAGCTCGTCCATACTCCCATTCTACATATAGTTTTTTTGATTAACTTGAGTGGTTCGTTTGCATTATGCTTCACTCTTTTCTCTGTGTAAGCTAAGCTTTATCCCTGTATCACCTACTCAAGTGACCAAATTTAACCAATCCTTCTTACGGTTTTTTGTGTTGACTGTAATGGTTTAGAATTGTATTTCTCTGCCCTTCTGTGATAGATATACGAAAGGGCATTCCGCGCAGAGTCGAAAGGACAAGATTACAGCACTCTATTGAGTAGGCCTGTTAGTTGTAATGTATAACTTGATTGTCTCGAACAGTCCCTTACAGCAGTTTACTAGATTAGAGTAACTTTAGTTGAGCAAATGAAAAGGTTGATGAAGCTCAAAATTTGCATCACACCAGATCATCTCCGCTTGACGTTTACCGATGGCCGTTATTTTTTCCATTCTTTATAGATATTTCATGTCGCCTTCCTAGCATTCTTCTCTTACACCATGTTATTCCGCATGGTCCCATCGCATGTCACAACGGAAGAGGCACTCGTAATGGGATATTTCCTCTGCTTCTTCATAGATGTCCTCAGAAAGGTACGTTTAGAGTGAAAGTGATATATTTCTACTGGCCTAACTGACGAGCGGTGAATGTGTGGGATCTAATGGACCTCAATGTCAATACTGCTTGCTTACATCGAAACGTACATCCAGGCGATTCTCATATACCCTGCAACAGAAAAGCACGCTGGTCCCTCCGTCTGTATTTAGAATTTTTCCGGGCCCCACTTAACATATCTTTTACTGTTGTCTTTTCACGCATACCTTGAAAATATCATTGCTCGTTAACAGAAAAAATACTGGTGGTCTGGGGGCACCGGACACAATAGGGGATTTTTTATTCCAGACAATAACCTCGAAGTCTTCATTTTTGCTTCTGCTTGTAAAATTCCGCTTCCAACTTTATTCCGTCCTTTAAGAAAATGAACTTTCAGAAGGCCTCATGTCTTGGAGTTAAGTAGTTCGCTTAAAAAACCGGTCCACTTGATAGCTCTCTTAGCGACTGGATTTTCTGGTTTTAGCAAGCGAGTTCTTGTTCTCTGCAAAGTTATTTGTATGAATTATCTGGGATTCACTCTTATTGGGAATCATCAAACATCAATCATCAACCACCAATATAAGAGTAGCTCAGAAGAAGAACAGATTCACATGACAATCGAAATTTCTATCTGAGAATTCGTCACTCGAAGAGGCAGTCAACACAAGATCACGCGATATGGATCACGTGATTAAAGGATGGTTGGAGCTAAATCCTGTATAAGTACAGGTTAATCACACTGCTGATCAAACGCTCTTGGCCATAGGGTTAGAATTTCGAACTACCAACTGGGAGGCCACATGTTGGAAACTAAACGGAGTTTTGAGAGGCGCGGACCGCTGATGACGTCCGATACGGACGAAACAAATCTACAGTGCCCCCAAAACATCCTCAAAAGCTAGCCATGCGTTAAATATGGAGTAAGTCCGTTCATATTCTGTCCACAGCTTTGGAAAAAACATTCCAGGACGTCAAAAACGCACTTTTGTTTACATGGCACTGCTGCAAGTGAGATACATCACTCACCATTCCTTTGGTCTTTTAATATCCGTTCAGAAATACGAATTCGCGGCTACCGAAGCTGAGATGTGACCTACTTTCCGGGGAGGGGGGACGTCACAGAATGATTTCATGATAGGTGGGTCAGCAGAGGGTCACCTGAGCAGCTGAGTAGTCAGTAAATTCATCGTTTCTTTGGCTTCAGTGCTTTCAGTGCAGGAGGGGAGCATCACCTACCCTACTGAAACTTAAGCATTACTTCAGACTATAAGCTTTGAGTGCTAATATAATTTACCTCAGCTTCACTTCAAGCTGGGTCGGTCAAGTTGAGAAACAAAATATACGTTCAGTTTTCTGAACAGTAATATATGTGAATTGTAATCCAAAACGCTCGACCCTCCAGACCGTAAGTCAGTTGGTCTTTCGGTCAGATTGCCTGTGATAACTCATCAAAATAGCCGACTCTACAAGTTTTTTTTCACCGGTGCTCCCTAGGCTCAGTATGGGATGCCGTGACACCATGTATGTCCCTAAAAGAAAAGTTTTTGCGCTGGAACCGGTTGATTTTTGGCAGGCAGGCAAAGCGGCGAGACCATTGGTTATTCCATCGGTGGAAGGAATCTCGGGTGGTTTGTCAAGTTCTCCTGTCTTCAGCCGGTTTTTGAGCTTGATATGGCAAACTGCTGTAAAGCAATCAAGACTTTCATTAGGTTGCTCTGTAAATCAGGACAGATCTCTACAGGTGCTTGTCCTTTGACTGGATCGGTAAAGCTGAACGATAGCCGAACCTTGAGATTTTCATCTTCTCAAAAGTTAGAACGGAAAAAAGCACTGCTATTCAACTACCTGTTGGTAGCTAAGCAGTGTAGTCCACCTGTACTGGGATACAATATAGCGTTATTTATCCATGGGCCACGCAGCTCATACAACAGCCGATTTTACCGAAGCCGAGACGAGATTTTGATTCTCGTCCACGAATTCTTTTTTTACTAACAAGGGTACTGTTCTCTTGGTCTACGAGGATTAGAACTGAAACCATTGTTTTACCGTCAAGTGAACCTGCGCTTTCGCTTAAGTCTGAGCTACTGGGCTGGTCAGAGACTGTGCTGAGAGAAAAACCGCCGGTGTTATTTGGATGGCAAAATGAAAGATGGTCCATATTCGGACCCCAGTTGGTCGCCTTCTAATGTAATGGTGACCTTCGTCCTGATAAACTCTACGCATATTGTTTCAGAGACAAATTACTAAAAACACCTTCAAAGACGCGTCTGTTTCATCTTACCTCCCAACACCAGACTGTATTTCCCCAAGACTGACATTATCAGTTTATTCCTCATGTTCTCTTGGAAGGGATCCTTCAATTGCTGTCAGACTATCTGCACTCCTGTTTGCTAAACTTCCGTTCACCTCTCAAGCATTTTTGGACCTACTAGATAAATTCTTAAATGAATTCTATTCCACTGTCACATCCATTATTGATGAACGCCTAACTACGGAAGCACGTGATTTCGACTAGACCCAGTTCGAGAAAATTCTCTTTTTTAACTTTCGTGACTTAGCTGTTCAGTCCATAATCAAACACATCCTTGCCAATAATCCAGACTTTCCTACCCATCTTTTTCTACCTGTATCTCTCATAATCGTGTGCTTTCCTCCGCGCTGCAATGTTTCATTACCTCTAATCTTCAATGAGGTCTACAAGTGCCTGAGTTGGTGGTCGTTGGCTTGTTCGGTGAGCTGTGCACAACTACTAACCCACCGCTACGCACTACTACGCTCCCCAATAACGCACTGATAATGTCACCTCGATTGGTGATGAGACGTTTGCAATCAAATTGCCCAGCTCAGCGAACAAGCCAACGACTACCATCTACGCTACCTGAGCTACCGACATTTTCCTCTATAGTGCCTGGTTTTGTTTTACATCCACTGTGCATTGGAAGTTCATCCCTCTATTTAATCGGACCAGTTCTCTTAGGAAGCACCTCTCTGTTTCTTTACATCTCATTCAATTAGTCCTCTGACAGTTTACCTACTCATTTAGTAGCTCCGGTAGAATATTCATCCTTTGTGATGTGCTCTTCAACCCCTTTTGCATACTTCAGAGAATAGTGCCTGGTTTTACATCCACTGTGCATTGGAAGTTCATCCCTCTATTTAATCGGACCAGTTCTCTTAGGAAGCACCTCTCTGTTTCTTTACATCTCATTCAATTAGTCCTCTGACAGTTTACCTACTCATTTAGTAGCTCCGGTAGAATATTCATCCTTTGTGATGTGCTCTTCAACCCCTTTTGCATACTTCAGAGAATAGTAGAAGCACATAAGGTTTAATAGCAAACTTAGGTAAATGTTTCTCCGTGCTGATACGAAGTGAGTCTGTCAGAGTGAATTTTGCCACACAAAATTCGATTCATAATGAAACTCGCCAATCCATAAGTATACAATTGAGATTTCATGAGGAATTTTTCAAATGGTTTAACCCTTACTCATTTTCGAAGCATTTACTGCTGTTTACCAGGTTTTATTCTTTTCGTTACGAGAGTTTTCTATTAATGTTGTGTAGAACACATCTGTTGAGAATATGCTTGTCTACGTTTGCCCAACGTAATTAGGCAGAAACGGTGCATACAAATGTCATCCTGGCCTGAAAAATATGATTGACATTTTTGGTTAAATGAGTTTCCTCCTGTGAATGACCTGCTGACGCTATTCCGACGGTAGCGATGCAAGCACAAACCCCATCTGCTCATGGGGACACCAATCCACCTTGTTTCAGCGAATCACGTGACAATACGACCCAAACACTGGACGTAGGTTGCAGCACCTCCACCGTATACTGAAGAATAACTACGTACATTTGCATGACTCCATCCAGCTCGTCATTCCTAGCATTCTCTTGAATCGTCGGACTATCTGACAAGTACTACAGCTGCCGCCTTGGACCGTCAGATGGAGTTATTAATTATCCGTTTACGACCGGTAGTAAAAGGCTGTCTATCAGGCGTATTTGACCTAACCAGTGCTGACCGCTTGAATATGGCTGGTTCGGTCACGTGATCACAACACCAGACAGCTGCTCATCACACTTGCATACATGACAGATATTGGTGAAACTGCCTGGTTTTGATCGGCGCCCAAATTAAACCTTGCAGCATACCACTTTTGTCTTTAAAGTTAACATTTTACACTCTTCTTTCGAAAGAAATACCCTGAACTTCACAGAAGGTCATCTCCTACGTTAACCTATTAGAATGCTCCACAGCTACTCTCCTTATGTGTATACATCTCTATTTTATGTTTCAGATTGTACTTGTCTCCCGTTCGAGCCTGAGCCTTAAGCGGTATTTTCAACTATATGGTTGGTTCTTACTGGATCTATTCATCATCCTTTTGGCAAGCTTGAGTATGCTGTTCCGAATTGGGCTGTCTGAAGGTTTCGCAGTGGCCAAACCGTTTTACGCGCTAACATGTACGTCTGTTTTAAACGTTATCACCCTTCTGTTTGTATCTTTGAAAGCAGAGATTCTAAATGCAAAACGCTACTAGAGAGGGCCAACTATTCCTGGATATCTGGATTGAACACAAACGTTTGTCTAGATGAACCTTTTGGTGAACTTAAACGAAGTCCTGTTTGGGGTTTGAGCACGGCAAACTATAAACAGAAAGTGACAAGTAAGCCAGGAAACGATGCGAACTGTTTGGCTATACTGAAAGATGTGAAGTAGCGGGTAGATCTAGATCATTAGATCGTTAGCCAGGCGAACGTCAACGGACGTCTCACTTGAAAGCTTTTGGAGCTTACACCTACTTAATCCACAATAAGTAGTAGTGGAGACTATGGCGTCCAATAACGACCCATTATGGGTTAACTGTAACAATCAGCGGTAAGGTAAGACTTGAATACTTATGAAGTCAGAATCTTCAGAGTTACTACATCGAAAACATAAAGATTATTTTCTTAGTTTTAGAAAGTGGTTGGTATGGGAACTGTTAACCGTAATGGAATCACCAGTAATCACCATGTCATGGGTAATCCAGATACGAATAGACGGAGAAGCCACGGTCACCATGCACCCATAAAATCCGGGGCACCTACAAACGGCAACACACTGAGCGATCTACAGTGGAGGTAGAGCGTGACCCCAGGGTATGAGTAAACGCTGACAGTCAGGAGCTGGCATACAGGGTTGAGGGAGCCTGTTCTAATAATGCAACCCTAACGGCCAAAAAATACGAGAAACAACCCAACCCATGTCGCAGATACGCAGAACAAGGTGATTTATGACGAAAAACTTAGGCCAGTTTAGGTATTGTGTTGATTTATACGAGTTGGATTGCAACTATGTGACAGAAGAGCGCTGAAAAGAGCCCGATTCAAAACGCCCCTTGAAACTGCCTGCCGCCTCCCCAGTCATTCAAAGACAGTAGTCCGAATTCACTCCTAAGTCACGATAATGTCCGACTATTATCTGTATACTGCACATTGTAAGGGTACAGACACGCACGGTACAGACACGCAACAGAACCCACATGGATCGCACACACAGTGCTTACGGTTTACATTGTAAACAGTTGCAATGTTTACTATTGTTTTCAGCCTCCGTCTCCTACAGTTGCCGCGCATATGAGTTTGAACACATTTGATTTGGATTTCTACTACCATGTATACTATGAAATCTAAGTGCAGCGCATACAAGGATGCAACATGAATGCACCAATAATGGTTTGACTGAATCCCGAGCCACCGCACCTACCTAATCGCGGCAGAAGTGTGGTTGGTGAGCTGAACATATTCTGCGTGTTCACGCGGGCTGTGTTATCTGAGCACGAAGCATACAAAAACTGTATTTATCCACTTAGGTAGAAGGGTGGATACTACCCTGAACCTGAGAACCTCATCAGTTTGTCAGTTTGGGAACAAAACGTGTCTTTGATTTTTTTTTGGAAAAGGAGATCAACCGAAAAAGCCCGTGGTTATCCAAATCTTCCGTGTGCCGGAAATACACATCTTAGAGACACTTTCGTGATACACCAGTTGATGAGAATTGCTTGTCAATAAAATGCGATTATCCTTTTCAGTGGTCTTCTGTTACACGCGTGTCTTTGCTCTTTACGGCGCGATTCCCGTGTTGGGGCCGAAAATTGTGATGATTCAACGGATGCTCAAAGAACTCGGCCTGTTCTGCCTGATCGTCGTGGTCATACTGGTTGCCTATGGGGTTGCCGTACAGGCCCTACTTTATCCAAGCCGGACCTCTTTCGATTGGACTGCTCTGCGAGATGTGGTTCACTACCCGTACTGGAATTTGTACGGTGAACTGAACCTCGACTACACTCTCGGTAAGATCGGTCAGTGGTTATTGAGGTTATTGAGGAATCAACAACAAGAATTGTAATGCGGTTACCGATAATTGTACCAGTAGACACAATCGTTAGAAACCAATTTTTTGAAAAAAAATGATGAGAGGTCGATTCCCTTTTTTCGTATGGTGGAAGGAGAGGTTGGAAGAAGAGACTGGAGTCGTTAAATCTTAATAAAGCTGAAATCCAAGTGTCCTGATCCGCCAAACTGTGGCTGGTTTGAAAATTCCAAGCTCAAGACGTCCTAGTTTTTTCTACATATAGGGACTCAGCTGGAATCAACAACAAGAATTGTAATGCGGTTACCGATAATTGTACCAGTAAGACACAATCTTAGAAACCAATTTTTTGAAAAAAAATGATGAGAGGTCGATTCCCTTTTTTCGTATGGTGGAAGGAGAGGTTGGAAGAAGAGACTGGAGTCGTTAAATCTTAATAAAGCTGAAATCCAAGTGTCCTGATCCGCCAAACTGTGGCTGGTTTGAAAATTCCAAGCTCAGGACGTCCTTGTTTTTCTACATATAGGGATTCAGCTGACCGCAATAGTTTTGAGGTTGGCCAAGACAGAAACCTCGAGGAACGGCTGGAAGAATTCGAGTAACTCAGAGTTATTCGCTCTGGTAAAATTTCATGAGTTTTTCGTTGTACAGCGAAGACAACTGCAAAATCCTTGTGACCTTACCGTCAGAATTAGCGCCAACATTACTGCCCCGGCGTCACAGTCAAGTTTTATAGCAACCAACAGACTGCTTCAAGACTGCTTGAGCCTACCCTGCCCATGGAGTACCATCGGAGTTATCTTATCCGTGTCATACGACAATAACCAACTGTAATGATTAGGCTGACTGTGAATCAGACGGATGTTCAATCAACCTATCCCTGCTTACACAACACGCCACGTCAAATGCAGCCGAAAGAGGATGTATTTCGTCAACAACTTTATCAAGTTCTGCAAAAGAAGACACTGGTATAGCGAAGGAACTTGAGAGGATAAATGCGAATTCCGCAGTGCGAGTTCTCGAGTTGCGGTACTTGCTTTCTGAATCGAAAGAGTAACACACCCATACGTTCAATCTTTCCACTAAAAGAGCGACAGCATACATATTTCATTTGAGCTGCGAAAGAATAAAAACACGTATTACTATTAACGGCTTCCGGATTCACAGTAGTGTCTACTTATTTTTAGAACTGAAATGGTCCTGAAATAAGTCAGTCAAATGCAGTTTACCCCAAACACTAAAACGTTTAGAAAAGGGCTGGTTCAGAAGTTTGAAATTGATACTGTCAAAGCCAATGCAACTTTATCTTTGTTTAACACGTTGAAATACGGATAGAATTTGCTTGCACAAGACATTGGAAATTATTGAGAATTGTATCTAGCAACGGAAGTCGCTTCAATGCGGAAAAAACCAAGAAGCTTTGTGAAATTATCCCCATCTTTGCCGTAAAGTGTCAGCCGTGTTCATCTCATGTAGTAATTACAACACGAATTTGAATACGGAACCATTCACAACGGTTGGTTGGACAGCATTGTGGTCATTCTGTAGTAGTGGACAGACGATGGTGCCCTCACCATTTAGTCACCCATTTTATGTCAAATGATCTAGTATCGACTAAATGTTCACGAACAGGAATCAGCTGCAAGGTCCTCCTGGCTTTTCAGTATAGGTTGACTTCATTTTTTGCATGAAATCTGGTTTTGGGTGTTCTTTAACGCTGAATTCTACTCAATCCGTCCTGTGTTGTGAAAGTCTGATAACCGCAGATGATGAATGGACAGAAATTCCCAACTGGCTGAAGTGCTCAACAACACGATCGAGGTTGTGCCGCCTTCAGTTTGCATAAAAAGTCAAATTGATCTGGTCGGATGGGAGTTTTTCGGTTTTCATTACGAGCGCGCGTTATTCATGATCTCTAGATAAACAAATAATCCACCTCTTGCTGCTACGATCAGAAATCTGATATGCTTGGGCGTTCCTATGTAGTAAATTACCGGAGACATCTAGCGACTTTTCTGGGTAGGACTTTTTGGAATAAAAGACGTCTCAGAGTGATTCAAATGAGTACATCTGACTATCTTTGGACACGCCGATTTTTTGTGAGAATCGCTCAGAACTATTCGATTTCATGTGTTCTCAGTTATTTTCCATACTCAAGGTTCTCGCGAATTATGGTTTGGAATGACGTGACATAAAACAATTCTACAGGAGAAAAGAGAAGATATAGGAATGGGAACGGTACTGAGTGTAAATGTTTTCAAAAGTCACTCAGCGAAATTTTTGTCCATTTTTTTGAATCTACGGAACAATGCTTAGCATATTCATCCTGAGGATCATCTTTGGTGCAGCTAACACGCTTCCGGACTGGTTGTTAGACAATAAACTGGCATTTAGGAGATACTCCCGGAACAATCCGAACGGTTTTCAGAGTAAGGGAATTCCTTTGCTCTTGTGAGTCATTTTTAGGAAGACGCATCTCAACAGGGTTGGTACATTTGATTGCATTTTTCCGGAACTGCTTCTAATCGCTGATGTAACAAACGCATAAAATCGATGGCTGGTTAGTCTCAAAGGAAAAACCGCCTAATTATATTCAGGGTGGACATTGTGTATATACCTGTATGTACTTCACGAACCGTCAGTGCCCTGGTCCAACTAGCTCGTAAGTGAACTGTTTCTAATCTTGCACACTAGAAGTCATGTGCATTTCGAAAGCTGTGCCGTTTCACTAAAGTATACTCGGGAGCTATTCTTTGGACACTTAACCAACCGTGCCATTTCAGCATACAATATGGCGCAAATTATTGACAACCTAGCGCTCTCATCAACATCTCTTGTAAACACAGGCCCACGTGAGCCCTAGCGGACAGCTTTATAAACTAACCGTTGTTAATCAATATTGGACGCGCAACTTTCAGTTATTTTCGATCGGTAATGGAGCAAGTTGGCGGTGAATAGTATTCGGCCAGTCTTGCGTTTGTTTTAGTGAGCTGTTATATGGATGCTAGTGCCATGGTCGAAATAGTGTCTATTTCAAGTGGCACATAGTAACGGAAGTAGAGCTGAGTAGATTCGAGGATTATAGTCAACTCTAAAAGTACCTGAAGAAATGTTAAGATGTAATTCAAGTTTGGTTATTATCCTGCTTATGAATGAAGTTTTCCTCCTGCTGACTTGAATTCTGTGCACCAGCCTTGTTCAATCCAAACCTCATCGTCTAAGCTGAAGATTCAGAAGCTGTTTCTCGAAGAGCTTCGATAAAAGTTAATCAAAGATTTTTGTTCAAGTAGTCGTTATACCGAACTCAAGGAAGGGACATGGACCTTCTGACGTGAATGTGCAACTTATTGACGTTTATCCAGTCATCTCTACATGCCCTTGAAGATTTTGTTCTGTAAGTGGAGTTTTGAAGAGCCTAGAAGTACCGACAGCTCTTCTGTCCTCATTTGGAATCATCAGCAGTGCGAAACTCACGTATCTTCAAGGTAATTCGAACTAGTTAACGATAAAACGTTTGCTCATTAGCAGCCGACAAGCAGTGTGTTTTGCTTGCACAGGTCATACAACCTCACTGGCTATTTTCGAAAGCACTGACAATAGTGGAGTGATTCAAGGAGGTTTCGTGACTGGGCTAGGTTACTGAAATCTAATTCGGTAACATGGTACCCTAAGATGGTGTTTTATCTGTGTTAGGCGCATTTTACCTACCGACTCTTTTACATCAGTTTTTCTGCACATATTTCATAACGACCAATATGGTCGCCTGAATGTTGACTAGTAATCATACGGATACCCCAGAGCTCTTAACATGTTGAAAGGTGATCATACAAGACTGGTCGCCGTGGCTAAAACTATAGTGGCTAGTATGTTAATGAACCGAGGGGTCATGTTACTGGAATAAGGAACAATAGCGAAATGGGGTGAATTAGAACAGTATCACGGAAACACAGCAGGACTGTGCACCAAATAGCTTTTGCCATAAGTTTACAGCTCCCTTCATCAGGATTAGTTTGACATGGCGTCAAAATAAGCATGAAAAAAACGAGATATTTCTTTCGACAAAACTAAAGTTTACATAAGGTCCGCGGTCATTTGCGAACCTGTCTGTCGGGCGTTATGTTGTGCGTCCGGTGTGAGCAGACTCAAATCCAATTTTGTTCAGGAACTGGTTTCATGTTTATACGTACCAAGTGAACTTCTCAGTTGAACCCAAACATTGTAAATGGATGTGTTCGGTGTAAATTTGGTTTTCAACATTCTTCCTTGTTTTGTTTTGGTCAATTTGTGCATGATAACAGCTTCAGCTTGTATCGAAGTTTTGACTTACATGTGGAAATTCAAATTTTTTCGCCGGATTTTCTCCTGGTCACAGTGAATTCAACCTGAAATCACATTCGCGCTTCAGAAAAAAGTTTGTCACAGTTTTCTTCTTCATGCAGACGGACTTTGCATAATCCATAAGGCTGTTCTTCAGTAAACATCTAAACGTGTAAAGGGTGATTTCCAGGAACTAACTATTTTTCCATTCTCTCTCTCTCTGTTCTCCTGTTTGCAGCTGAAAAACCAAACTGCTCCGAGTTCTCCAGTGACCCAAACTGCCCACATTTCAACTACATGGTGCCCTTGTTTCTCGCATTCTATATGCTCCTAGCTGGTATTTTATTGATAAATCTCCTCATTGCGATTTTCAGGCAAGTGAGGATAATTCTTCTTCAGTTATAGCGGTTTGAGAATTTCCAATAAGTTGATCCATTTAGTTGTCCCTTACGGTAACTTTATGGTGGCGACTCTGAAATAGTTCACCGACGTCTCCAACCTATCGATTTCTTTCGGTAATAAGGTTGCATCTCGTACCCGACCCGATCCGAACCGTCAGTTAAGTAAGAAACGCTGGTCAAATCCCGGTGTCTCAGACAATTTTGACAGGCAGATTTGGTTTAACAGCCAGTCCGCATAGACGTGACGGGTCTGGAGATTTTGGAGAATACTTCAACTAAAGATTTCATTTTATACGCGAAGCCAATGTACGTTGTACAACTGTTTTATCCATACTGAGAGTCGTCAGATGTATGCGCTCCGGGAATTTTCGAACTCGCGACTTATCGGCTATTACTTCAAACAATTACTCGTTCTGAACCGAGCGGCTAATCAACATTGTGATTAATTCGCAGTCAGTACCAGTCAATACGTGACCATGTGATTTGTTTTCCGTGACCGACGGATGTGTAGCAATATATCCTGTCGAAGTGGGATTTAGATACACTGTCGGTCAGCAGCCTGCTGCCGAACGGTTGTGTTCGAAGTACTAGCCGGGAATTCATGGTCTCGAAACCCTCCGGAGTTTTGCGGGACACGATGTATTTGTTTAAGATTCTTCGTGGAATCGAGGTGCCGAGTGAGCCTTAGTGGTAGAGAAATTCGACGAATTGGAGCTCGTCAGAAAGGTAGTGTTTCTGGACTCTCGACCATCTGTTTTCCAGGCTAAGCGTGTAGATTTGCAACCGACCGATGAGTTACTGAAGTGCTGAGTAACAAGTGTACTCTGTATCTGTCAGAGGATCTCGATCAGTTTTCTTACATTACCAGCGTTGAAAACTAGGGTCAGTGTAGAACACCAGCAAGCAAATTCTTGTAAGTTTTCAATGTTTAGCAACTATAAGTGTGAATCACTCTACAGAGTGATGGAAAGCGACGTTTCAAACCAGTTTCACAGTCTTAGCTTCATAATAAATACATTTTGAGGCAAAAATCCAAAAATGACCATCCCTAAAATAATTCACCTGTACTTTCGTCAGCGTATTCCATGGACTGCTCTGAATAAAAGCAGGTATCAGCAGTTAAAAATTAATGAATGCAAGGATACATGTGCGTCCATCCTCGTGATTATTCCTGTAAAATTTCTGATCTATTATTCCAATGCCGAAATTAGGAATTTGAAAGGGACCGTCCTACTTACCGACCTCAGTCAGTTAGCCTATGGACATCTGGTGCGCTCAATGACGTCTGAGCGGTTAACGTGTAAGTTTCGAGGGCATTCCTTAGAAGAGTCTGTTGATAAGTCAATAAAAAACTAGATGGAAGCATAGCAAACATCACGTGCTTCGGCTGAAAATCCCAGACAGCCCACTAGCTATCCTGCCTTTTATGTGGCTCATCAGTTGACCCCAACCTCCGAATAACCACCTAGCTTAATTTCTCCTTGAAAGTCAGATTATTCACGTGTCGTAACAACGACCCATTTACCAATAAAGTTCATGCTGCTGGGGTACTCAATCCTTAGTCACCGAAATCGTTTTTTTATGTATTTACGGACAAATAAACTTGATCTAGGACTTCCTACACTGCTTTAAAAGTCAGATTCTTCCTTTTTATATTGCGTCTTGGATGTGACATGCTTGGAACCATCCTTTTTTCGCCATATCACCGTTTGGGGAAGACAATGATTTTTGGTCGAAGCTAAATAAATATAGGATAATGGACGTGAAAGCTATTCAGAACCATCTTAGTGTACCGTTCCAAAGATAGTGCTGTCAAAGATGGGTGTCTGATAGTCCAACTCAACGCATGGATGAATAGTTTACGATGTTTCAAATAATAGGACGTTTTTCAACTCGTGAAAGCTGCCCATACAGTATTGAAGCCATAAATTTATGTCATCTGATACATTCTGTGCCTCGCTAACACCAGTGAGTTTGCAGTTGGACTGGAGCGAAAACTGTGAGGCATCCATTCCAATAGCTTATCGGGACATAGCGGAAGCCAGTGCCCGGCGAACTGATAGGATTTAACTGCCGAAACCGTGCACTCATGCGGCCTACTTGTGAAAATCTCTTTGATATCTAAATGCGCGTCGGCTGGTTAGTCACCTTCAACAGCTGAGATCAACTCAGCTTCTGTTGCGTTAGACTTGTCCACCTGCAGTCCTTATCCACCCGGATTAAAAACGTGTTTCCCCAATAGGAAAACTAATTTACAAATTTCGAAGTAACTCTAGTTTCATTGTGTAACGTTGATAAAAGGTTATAAGTCAAAAATCATCCAGGCACTCGGTTAAAACATCGGTTATACACGTCTTAGGGTGATCTCTGAACTAGCTCAATGAAACAACAACCTGTGTTGGCCATATATTCTTTTTCGCGCCAGATTCATGGTTTTTCGTTTTCTCAGCGTTCTCCTATCAGAAGTCCTGTAAATAATAGATTCCGTAAGGTTATCACCAGCACCGATGCGTTTCATCGACTAGCAATGAAAAGCTGGGAATCCTTGAGTACAATAGGTTGCCAACACACAGAACTTTGAAATATCCAGTGTAATTCCCCTCTTTTTCTTTCCAATACAGCAACGTCTTTCAGGATGTCGAACAAATATCGGTTCAGCTATGGAAACACAACCGCTTTGCCTTGGTGTTCGCAAACAAGTTGGCGACCGTCCTACCTGTTCCCCTGTCAATTTTTGAAATTATGAAGGAATTGTTCTGCTACTTATGTAGTGTGCACAGTCAAATTCCGACATCATCGAGAAGAGGTAAGTAGAATTTTTTCAAACGAGTGTCGATAGCTAAGTACTGGTTCCATTCGACTGGTTTTGCATGTTGGTGATGGACGTTTCATCACCAGACGGGAGGGTTTGAAAAGTAGACAGTAGACTGGTAATTGTAAAACAACGGTTCGACCTTATGTAGATGTTGAGGAGTATGGCGCTTATGGACACGTAGGTCTTTTTTGCGCTGCTAGTTAGCGTTCATTATGATTGTTGGCTTGGACGGTATATCCTGCTGCTTGGTTCGTGGGCTCTGGTTGGGCAACGTCCAAATGATATTCGAACTTGAATTAAACGTGATTTGTACCAAAGTTCATCTGCCCCAGCTCCCCTGTCGTCGCCACAGTTACCATGTGTCCCCTTATTCTAACATCACTAGGTTTTTTCTGGTTTTCCAATTCAGTTGGCTATCCTTTGCTCGTTTTTGTGTTTATATTGAAAAGATTTTCGTGTGTTGGTTGGGGTTTGTAGTCATCTTCAGTCTCAGGTCATTCCCACGTAAATTGTCCCAGCCTCAACTGCCAAAAAATATCAAAGCGCAAAAAATATCATGTGGGAAAAATGCTTTCAGTGATAATTTTTTTCCTGAAAGAATCCAGTTTAGGCTATCGTTCGGCATTTGAATGTACATGAACAGGTTTGCCTGTTCTCATGATAACGTGAACATACACACCTACTTCATCTGACCATTCCCCTGAAGGTTTTTGCGACGTTCTTACTCCAAGCTGCTTGCAGCTAACCATGAAGCCTTACAAAAAATGTCTATCGCATTATTCGAACGATCATTTCAACCCGATTTATCACGAAATTCCCCGTCGGGCCGGCTACTTGAGCTCAAATATTTGAGGTCATTTCGCAGCTGTAGGCGTAAACCTGATCCAGTCTAATTATTCTTAGTTGTGACTGTCCCAAGCGCCTCACCGTGTGCAAGTGTTTGAAGTGTCGTTAATATGAGGTAGTTAGGACTGAGTGCGATTATCACACAGCTGTCATTCTAGGTAGGTGTCTACGCATGTTTTCGTGAACAAGTACCTTCAAAGGACCTTTGAATAGCAACTACGAAAACAGCAAATGATTGATTATGGCGCACGAGTTCCTTCAACTCGATTCTGTACCAGACCTAATCAAGTTGTTCAACTATCCCACACTGTCTGATCCCATTGTCAGGAGAATCAGTATCTTCTATTTTCATGGTGTCTAAGACACCTGGATGCTTTTCGCTCCACTCCATCTGTTGGGTGTCCTTCTATACCATAATCTCGGGTGGAATGGCTTGGTTGGACAGCAAGCTATAGGTAATCGGGGCTTAAATGATCATCCAGAGCATTTAATGAATACTTTCTGACCCTCGTTCAGAAGTGGAAGCTTTCCGGCCTAAAAACCCACGGGATTAATGAAACGAATTAACCGATACACGTGTCGAATCCAGTTAAAACGTCCGACGTACGCTTGTGGCTCTCGCACGATCCCGTTGTCTCAGTGATGAGCAGTATTCAGTCCGTGAGGAGAAACCCATCAACTTGCATGGGAAATTTGTGTAACAAGTTGATGCGGTTCCGTGTCCTTTGCGGTTTACGGCACAGTACGTTCAGCCATGAAACTTGCTCGAACACCTTAACCTACTTCCAGCGACAAATTTTAGCATAAGCTTGTTGAAATCTGAGTGATCTAAGTTTACTGGAAGATCTCCGCGAAAACAAATTCACCACCAGCTTTGTTATACAACTCGGAGTCACCGAAGCGCTGCGGGTAATTGAGACACTTAGGTTGCTTAGTTGTGCTTCTGATATCTTCCAGAATGCATACAAACTAAGAGTAAGTGATTAAAAATCGTGACAAAATCACATACTATTCTAGGCCAAATATGACAAAAGCGCAACATTGTACAGAACACAGAGAGCAGTGTGTTTCTTCATTGTCTTGGGAATCACTCAAGACCCTACCATTTTGGTAGAAAAATCAATGTTAAACATTGATCAACGCTTCTGAATGACGGTCATAATAGGGTTCATGGAAATTTCCAGAAAATTCACAGCCGTTTTTCTTCTTGGTAGGGCTTGCTCTTCAGTAGTTTCACGTTAAGCAAAAACATCCCGAACCCCTCAATTTTGCCCGAGCCTAAAAATGACACCACATGTGTACAACATACTCAGTTGAAGAATACTATAAACATAAAATTTAGCTGCGTCTACCGGTAATGCCATAGTGGTTCGTAATTGCGTGACTGACCTAAGCCAGTTCAACGTGCAGTTATTTTCTAGGCCCACCTGGTAATTGAACTTGTGTAGCAAGTCCCCCATCCACCATCAGGTTATATCACAGGCCAAAAAACAAATTATAGTAAATTGTGATTGATCGGCCATAGTCATCCCGGGTTATCTTATATTTTAGGACGGGTATGTACCCTATTATCAAGCTAGCCATCAAACGACATACATTCAGACAGCAGCAGTGGCAAGGGCCTTGTTCAACGCTTTGAAGCAGGCCCCACTGACAGTCTTTGTCGAGATCTGACGTAGCGTAAAGACACGTGGCAGGTGTGCGGTTCTGGCTTCAATGAAGTTAAGTGTAAAAGACTGACTTCCAGCTGGTTCCATTTTACGTGCTCGGTGAGAGCAAGCTCCAAAGTCAGCCACCTGATTGCGTTTGGTTGGGAGTCCGAAATCAACCAAATGTTGTAGAGGTTAGACAAAAATAGCTTTACAAGAGAACAACATATGTCGTGCTCTTTATGCGTTGTCGAGCCATTTGAAATGACAGGTGGCAGATTTCATGGAGCTAAAGCCAGCAGACAAAAATTTCATCTTGAATGTGACAGCCAAGAATGAAAAAGGACTTGTTGCTGCCACGTCTCATGCCAAATCCCGAGTTTGCTGTGTGCGATGGAACCCTTGTTTGCGCAGTGGGCCGTGGCTATCATGCAGGTTCTAGCACGTTATAGAAATATTCCGAAAGTTTCCACCGCTAGAAGGGAGACGATGATGTTGCAAGTGTGCACTGTAGGTACACTCAATATTTCAGCAATCATTCAGGTAAGTGCTAGGATTCAGTGCCTGCGAACTCAAAGGATGTCGCAGCAGAACTGTCACTAGCTTGCAGTTCAAATTGGTTCCGACGGACGAATAAGCAGGGATTAGCACTAATTTTCGTTTATAGTAATCCCTAACTGAACGTGTTTCAGTTGAAGCAACACTCAAAATATGCAAGTTTGTTTCGACGTTAATCCATACTACTCATACACTTTGTGAGTAACAACGAATGTTATCAGTATTCTTTCTATGAGGCATGTCCCATATATTCCAGCATGAACTTCGGTAAGTTGATTTGCTGTCCACCTTTGTTTGACTGAAATACTAGGGAAGAGTCTCACACCTTTAGTAACGTTTCCTTTGGAAAGTTTCCTTTGATCTTTACTTCTTACATTACCTTTTAATCATGTGAAAAAATTCGCAATTTTTGTTGATGTATCATTCAGTATGCGGTTGAATTCTCATTGCATTACATAATCTCGCCACTTTTAGTTCACTAGAGTTAGCCTGGTTTGTGGATATGGATCATGCACAATGTCTGACATCACTCAAGTTGCGGTCAAATTTTATATCAGTGGTGACAACAGGGTCTAACTTTTACCGGTTTTCTGTCACGTATGTTCCCGCTTTGACAATTGTGTTGTACTACTAACTGTAAAAATTGCTCCTTGACTGGTCAGATCGCACAGATCCTCTTCGGATTCCCATGTTGAAGGGGGAGATTCCCACGGATCCACTGAAAAATTTCCTTTCAGACGACGAACTCATTCGACGCTTTGAAACCGCATGCACACATAGCTATTTGCATAGCAGACAAGCTGACCGCTGTCCACAAGTGGATCCGAATTGGAATTATGTTAAAAACCGGTAGGTCGCAGTATATGTAACTGTTCTGAGCTTTTCTTCTTTCCGTGTGATTACAGACTAACACATTCAAGTGGGCGCCTTAGAACCACAGATTACCGACAGATTCTTGCAAAGGACGTTCGTGGAAAAGATACATCACTTTGCCTCACCTTTACGAGATAAACATTATTTTAACGAGGTGGTGAATCTAGCACCTGAAGGAAAGAAGTTACCAAACTCGAAGACCAAACTCAGTTATGGTAAAGAGGGGGATCGATGGTTAGCTTGACAACACCGTGACCATATGCGATTTGTAACTACTCACAAGTGATGAGTAGTTAATATCAACTGGAGAGAGAAAATTATCGATTAGAAGTACGACAGGTTGTGGGTAACTGTCAACAAAGAAAACGCGTCAGAAGTGATTTTCACTCATTTAGCTGGAGGCTTCAGTTTAAAAATGGGACTTCGTTGTTTCATCTGTTCTTACTTTCTAGAAACATCTATCTGCGGTGGAGACATGTCCTCACAGTTTGGTGTCTGGTGCCTGAAGCTGCTGTCACACCAAGGCTGAGAATGGTTCTTATCCATCTATTACTATATTTATGATGGTAAAAACCAATAGTGATATGAATTTGTCACAGAATGTGCAGCTGCATACGGAAAACAGACCTGAGAAGTAAAATAAATTTAAGCAGCAGCTCCTCTGTTTGAAATTGAGGCGAAAACCCATGTCCATCGTATAATAGAAGGCTTGTTGTAGACCGAAATTTTTCAGCACTGATTTCTCTAATTTGATCATCATGTTCTGCCGCGCAACATCGAGTCAGCTAGCTACCTGACTTGTATGATTCTGGTGAACTGTCCGGTCCGACATGGAAAGAGCCTGATGATATTTTTCAAGCACGATTTTAGATCACTTGGTAGGAACCGAACGCCACCGGAAACGTATTCAGTCTCTTCTTGAAAACAGTCGCAAGATATGAATCCCACAACTCTGGATAAAAGCAGTGACACAATGGATATGGCTAGTAGTGAATAACGTGGAAAGATGTCTTCAATTCTGAAGAACCAGACTAAATTCGGAGGACTTCATCCCAACAGGGACAAAGTCCGCCAGTTAGGGAACACTTTATCGGTTGTGTTTGACACCACCAACCTTCTAGTCTCCGTTATCCCCGAAGCTCTAGGGACTATCTAAAATCCGTAAACCAAATCTTCTACCTTGTTCCATCCTAGGTATGCCCAGATCCACGTATCATAAAGCAGTTAAATGGTTAAGGGGAATCTCTGAAATAGTTTGCCATAGGATTTAGCAATACAGCTTGCGAGATATGCGATCGACAAACTCGGTATGTATAAGGATCATCTGGCATTATTGGGCACACTTCTAGTTTCAACTGACGTCTCAGCCATAGAAACGATCCCCGTAATTGGGCGGAAGAAAATCAGATGTACTTGTGAATTCCTATTAAGTAGTTGAAGAGATTATGGCCACGGTGCACATGTGATGTAAAGTAACAGAAGTCTATTGTGTCGCAACGATTTTCAGGCTAGGCCTTTCGAAACCACCAAGTCCATCCGACTAGAAAGGTACGGTGCTAAGGGCGAAATCTAACCAGTCACATAGGGTTATTCAGTCTACATCCAAAGAAGAAAATAATAGCTAGACCCAATTCCGCTAAAACCAACTGATGTTTAGCCTTAACGTCCGATTAACCTACCTGGACGCGACACTACGCCAACTCTGACAGCTTTGTACCACTGAAACACTAGTAGAATTTAGTGCAAATCCTTGCTGATACGGAAATTAAAATTATTGTCCGGATAGGTCTATTTAAAAACATGTCTACATTCAAGGAAGGATCTAGCCACAGACCATTCGACTCCGCGTCTACATCAGACACTGGCGAATCTTCCGGCTCGTCCATTCAGATGATGCCTTTGCATCTCAAAGATGAGCTGCCTGTCCACCTTCACCTGCTGCCCACAAGAGAATGAACACATCTTGTGACATGGCAGTTGTGCGGACAGACTGATCGTGGAAGTCAATTACTGGCCTATTGCTGTCCATTTGGCTACTAACTATGTGTTTAATTTCAAAGCTCCACCAAGCGTCAATTTACCTGCTCAGATCCATTCAAATCATTGTGTGGTCACAGCTAACACAATGATGAATCATCTACGTTACCCAAAGCTATGCCTTCAGAACAAAAATGTACGCACACTTAGTCTACCACGGCCTGCTCACGTGACCACTGGCTACTCAGACCATTTGATCGTGATGTGAACAGTCTTCACATTTCCAGTCACACGGTCCACTCACTTTTAGTTTAAATAAACCCTAGACTGCATTCGTCAGATGAAGAAACCGTGACAACAATAACCAATATTCACCAACTTGTATTCTGAAATTGACAGAGATTCTCATTCATAAACTACTGATTTTTTCTAACAACGTCAACTTCACTCTTCCAGAATCGACACTCTGAGATCGGAGTTCCAGGATTTCACTCAAATGTTCGATTGGCCATCACAGCGAGACTCGAGTACAAGTAAGTAATAGCCGACGATTTTTTGTCGATACTTGATCAGGCAGCCGTTGAACTATTCACCGAGCTTGGCCACTGATTTGCAGATGTCTCCTCGATATTCGAGGAGATATTATCAGTGGGCGGTTAGTCATCGTGCTTGGACTATATGGTTTAAAAAAGTAGCGCTAAGCTATAATCTGACAGACTAATAAGAATCGTCGCACTTGAAGCCTGATTAATCCGATCGTGATGTGTATTGTGTTGTGGTCTGCATTCCTTACATTTGGTTGGTCTATTACATGCCGAAATTTCAATACATTACCAATCGACGATTTTGTCTCGTTAGATTTTTTCACTGCTGTTAATCTCCATCTATTTAAGCTCCATCTTTTTTTTGTTTTTCTTGCAGGTACGTCAGTTAAAATTGGGGGTGTCACATCGGGTTTCCCGAAGGTAATGCCGCCAAAGTATGACACAATAGATGGTGGAATTTAGGTTAGTATCCTCGTTTATTATTACAACTTTCCTATCAAAACGTTACTCTGTGCGCTGGTTGTTTACTGATAGAGTAGCTAAATTAGGCAACGGGCATCATTGCGCAAGCAGCTTTCACGAAGAGTGTACTCAGGTGCCAGATGGATGACTTTAAGGGACCCTATGGTCTTTGGCTGTACCGATCGATTAGTCGTGATCGTCTCCCATGCGCACTGTACTATACGTTCCCAATCCTGATCATCCAGGAGAACCTTTGGCACATGAATCGTCAATGTAGGGTAGAAAGGACCTTTTGTCTACTGTCTTGAGGCGAGATGGCTCAGCGGTTAGAGAGCAAATTTATTCACCGGAAGGTCCGTGGTTCGAACCCGACCTCTGTCTCTCGACTTTCCCCGTCTAGGCTTGTGCACCCTGGAAGTACACGAGTCCTCGCGCTTTCTTCAGATGGCATTGCAGTTAGGGACCAAAAAGGTGCTAGTTCTTTTTCCGTTTTTTAGAATTATATTTGTTGCAGAAATAATCCTGTGGAAACAGAATGAAGTCTTCTTTAGCCAATGAAACCTGAATAATAGTCGACAGAAGCCTCCCTTCTAATAAGAGAAGCTCGAAGTTTCAGGGGGTTTCGAAGCTCAGAATTGCCTGTAATACGATGATTGTCCGTGTCAAAACACAAACGGAAATGTTCCTCTGCAGCATGTATCAACATACTTGACCTTTTTATACCATGTATCAGGGACAGCGATCTTGAGTCAAACTCAGTGCTGCCGCCAACCTTATCCTTAGTCAAAACAATAAAACTGAATATGATTGGCTCAGTTTTAACCCCAGAACGCTCAGTTGCTCAGTCCAACTGCTCAACGTTCTCTCACATCAATCCACTTCATGAGCCAGTCAGTCCTGAATCTTAACCCCCGGGCATGCTATAAGCTTGTTCCAAGCAAGGCCTTTGGTGTATCTTGGCTGCATTTCTATTAACTAGCAGGCACAATCTCCCGAAAGATCACTGAACAAAGAACTCTGCTACCTTAGCTCGGAATCATCGGCGTTCAGTGAGGCTATGCGGTGTACTAATAACACCCGAGTAGCTCTTGAGTTGAATGACTCAGTTCCACTTCCATCTATTCCTATGCATGATCTGAAATTGACGATTTATGGTACAGCATATGAGAAGGCAGAACGAAGATGTGGATACTCCTCTACTAACCACAACCCTCGGATTAGGGCAATGCCACTGCAATGCTTGTGTCTCCGCATTCAGTGGGACTCGTTGGACCTCGCCGATATGAACTGGTTGGTGCAGTAGATGTTAACGCTAAAGCACTACTCTGTTAATTAGCCCTTTGTTTTTCGTTTATCACTCACACTGAGTAATGCCAGACACCGATCGTATGCCGGCTGCTTTTTAATCTCGTACTGATTGCCTCTTTGGTGAATGGGTCTCATACAACCGCATCGGTTTTAAAGACCATTGTGAGGATGAGATTAATATAAACGTTGTGCCGTCATGTTGTCATATGCACAACATAAAGCTCAGGGGACCCGAGAGTATTGTTAAGAAGTATTCCGAGCCGGGTGTTACGCTCTGGAATGGTACATCTGAGACGTTCGGGGACGGAGGTTGACCTCGGGCTTAGTGATGTTTTCGTCCCTAGGAGGCAAGGACTATTTGAAAAGTGAACCAACCTCGCCTTCCGTTGCACATGGCTACATTTAGTGGGTGTGCGTGATGACTCACAAGGCTGATCATCTTAAACCACGTGAAACCACATCTTGAGCAGGTCTACATTTAAAAAGATCCGTCCTCACCATATCGGTTCACCTGAGATGCATCGAATATCAAAACTTCCCAGGCATGGGAAGCCGTTCGTCAAACATTTCTGTCGAGGGTCATGTCCTTTCATCAACAAAATGGGAGTCAGATTTTTTCAAAGTTAAGTAGGAATTTTTGGTACCCTCGGTTTCTAAATGTGTTCTTCAATTGGCCGCAGTCAAGCTATTTCTGGGTTCCATTTTGGGCATCCCTGCAATCGTCCTAACCAATGGCCCGGTTTTTCATCAGGCCGCACTTAAATGCAACGGAGTTCGCCTTCTGAAGTGCTTCGGTGTTCAGCACTCGGTCCTTCCAAATGATATAGTGACAGTACGCAGGCATAGAAAATGAATGTGCTCAATTGTCAGAACCTTTCCTCTATATGGCTTTTAGTTTTCGCTGCCTTACAGTGGTGAAGACCTGTGCTGTCTTTTGGGGTTCGTACGCTTACTTCAGTTTCAAGCCCCGGGTCTTTTGATAATGTGTTGCTACGATAGCGGAAATCCGTTCGGCACGCTGCTTATAATCCAGTGAAATAAGTTACCATGATCCCATGATCAAAAATCGTGTTAATCACAGTTATATTGCTACGTCGAGGGCTGGATCTTAAGTAATCTATTTAACTATGTGGTTGGCGATTGCAAAGATAGAAACATTCATTCCGTACATTGTGAGAAGCGCTGAGATGACTTGTCTTGCCATTACCAATCCTTTATAGTGTAACGCGCTTTTATCCTCTGTCCCGTGGAAGTTAGTGCAATATTTTGTTATAATAACCTCGGAAACATCTCTTGAATATATAACGCGCGGCATATTGGCGAAGTGGTATACTGAGATGATGGTCGCACTGGACCTGAAACCAACGATAGGCCAAAGTCGAGATGGACTTACAACTGGAAATCCTGCACACAGCATACCAGACCTTCTACTAAGCATCACACCCTATCAAACAGGGTAATATTCATTGTCTGGAAGACCATATGTGATATGAAGTCAATCGTCCATCAACCTGAATTTCGAGGTTTCTCCAAGGTCACACTTGGTCAAGCAAGCTCTAACGAAGGCACGCAAAATTGATAATTAAGATTTATCTACTTGTTTGAATATCAGTAGTACAAAATGGCAGTGATGTACTGCTCAACCCTCGCAATACGTTGGATGTATTTCGATCAATTCGTTGCCGAATAAAAGACACAAAATTGCACACTTAACCAGTTTATGAAACCGTTTATTTACATGCCATTGAAGCCGTTGTAAGTTTTGTTCATATTCCATTTGTTACAGAGACTGGCCCAAATTTTTCCGCATCGGTGACAACTTAGCGCCATTCCATGATCCCGAATCTACACTGTCGAGGAAAATGTGGTCTAATTTTATTGTTTTGTGTATGCATTTTCATTTATTTTTCTCGTTTTGAGGCTGCCACATTAAGCGCCATCTTTACTGTTTCTTCAGCTGATTTTGCTTGACTTCGTGACCGAATACTTTCTGCTTTAATCGTTGTGGTACAAATTAAACGATTAAATTTTTTCGAATATGAAGGTTGTTCTCTGGACATCAACGCAGTTTAAAAGTGAGTTCTCATTTCAATATAAAAGATTCTATTATCAAAAAACCCCTTCTTTACTTATTGACCCGAATCGATATATTTTATCCAACACGGGCAGAAAAACATACTGTAATGGAATACAAAAAGAGAAAAGTTGGGAACAACAAGTTCTCTGCGTACGATTCACTCAAGTTACCATATTTGGGACCAGGCCATCTTACCGTGAAAAATGCCCGTATTTTTTCCGAAACTGTTTGTTTGCCGATTGGCGAAGCCTAGTCATTGTTAGGACTGATCGGAAGCTCCAGCATGAGTTCGTTGAACTCGTGAGACATTGGTTTGAAATCTGGATACCATTTTCCAGTTGATGTCATCTGACCCTTAAAAGAGGGGAGCAAGTTACATTTGCTTCATCGGTGGTCTGGATGCAATTTGAACTCTCCAACATCTCGTTTGATCTGGTAGCTCAGGAATTCATGTAATTTGTAATCATGTTCGACTAAATTTGTGTCACATGATCCAGTGCTGCCTGGTCAATCAAGTGACACCCTTCGGAGAGAGACCATTGCGAATAGTAAGACTCCATGTTTTCAGAAGTGGGTCACCAACACTCTTGTGGCCTGATATCCACCATGTGCCTGAAAAGAGCCTTAAAGGTTAATCTCCATCCTTCAAGTGAACTCTCCACATCTCGTTTGATCTGGTAGCTCAGGAATTCATGTAATTTGTAATCATGTTCGACTAAATTTGTGTCACATGATCCAGTGGCGCCTGGTCAATCAAGTGACACCCTTCGGAGAGAGACCATTGCGAATAGTAAGACTCCATGTTTTCAGAAGTGGGTCACCAACACTCTTGTGGGCCTTAAAGGTTAGTCTCCATCGTTCAAGTGTGAAAAGGCCATCTGATGCGTTTAATCGCTAGAAATTGGACTAATCTTATTCACCTGGAGCACCGGTAATGATGGCTTATGGCTGGGAGCCTTTTACTTATTCCAGTAAGAAACGATTGCTCAATGATGTAACAGCCAGGCTGTGCAACCAGGCACGTGTTTGAGATGTTGGCTGGGTTTCTGTCATCCAATGTCAGAACTTTCCTCGACAGTAAGGCCAACGGCGCGACTGCCGTCCATCTAATCCATACGGAACATAAGGTCAGTCCGGTTGAGTCGTTTGATGTGGTGATGTCATCCATACATCGTTGCCCGCCAAAACGCATTCACAGACTGAAGCTATTAGGTGACATCAAACATACCTGAGTATTAAAATAGAGGCCTGAATGTTATGGCAGAAGCTTCGAGATGCATGAATACTTGACGGGGTACTTGACCCCCCCCCAAAGCCCTGTCTTGTGTTTAGTCAACGGTCATGTCATTTTATCAGCAAGTGTAAAACAAACGAAAGCTCAGGCAACATTCCATAGGCTTGATCCTTCATAAGATTTGGAATTCATCAGCAAGGGAACTTATGAATGGGCGAGAACCAGTTTAAGGTGGTGAGTGAGTCAACTTAAATCCTGTTAGATTCACCAAAACTGAATAGGTCTGTTGAGCTTTCGCTCGCATCCAATTATTCCCTAACAAATAAGCTTCTTGGGGAAGGTTCGGTGCAGTTTGCCTTAAGCATTTCTTTCCGAGGTCTTCGTGAATTGCGAAGCCACCTCGTTTTATTTTGCGTCCTTTTGTCCATAACTGTTCGACAAAATGTTGCGCTATAGCTTAGCATACAAAGTCTTGTCTTTACTCAATAACCACATAGTTATTGTGGTACCTCAGGGACCCATAGAATGGCAGTGCCTCTAGTCACAGAACCGTCTTGTCGAAACCTGCAGGTTTTCCAAAATGCGGTTTTACCTCAAGACAGACCGATGCCCCCTTTTCTGTAAACAGCTGAACCCACATAACCCTTGTTGAAGCCTCTGAAGAATAGTGCTGTACAGAAACCCAAATCAGAATACTGTTCGTCCATACCACTTTCAAGGGAGGCAGTCCTAAATGTAGACCAGCTGTCACAATTTACCCTTTTTCTGGTTTTCTGCAAATCTTTTTCGAAAACCGCCAATCTCTCAGAATAGAAGCCATTCTGAGAGATCTAAACTGTTGTCAGGACCTTCAAAGAATAGCACGAAAATAAGCAGCCTTAAAGTTTGTCTTCATGAACGGTAATAAAGACATGAGTGAACCTATTTCGTGGCTCACGTGGAACTCAGCTGAACCTCTCGTTTGTGATGTTAACAGGCAACTGAGTTTGCTGCACCAGGCCGCTTCATCTCTCGGTCGCCACGATATTCGAGATATCGTGATGCAAGTATAGACGTAACGCACTACTCATAAGGTTGCTGGAAATTCTTCGAACACATTCAGTTGCCTGGAAACAGCACAAACGAGAGATTCAGCTGGGTTCCAGGTGGGTCTCTCGCAAAACCAAAGTTGATTGCAAATGAGTGTATTTCGCTGATTTCATACAATCTGGTTTCAAGTAGAACATAATGTTGACGGAAACTCGGGGACTGCGCCTACCTGATGAGCCTCAAGAAGGGCGAAACCGGTCATGGACTGTCGAAGAATTCTCAGCAACCTTGTGAGTAGCGTATATATTTAAGCTTTTTCTGAATTTCGGTGTTACATAAAGTACAACCACTTACAGTGGGATCGCGCCCAAGCTTTACCGCAGACGAGAATCTTCATTTTTATTCTAACTTTTTTCGTGCCAAGTGGCTAGTTATGTATCTTAACCCTTAACATGCTAGAGGTGTACGTGGACGACAGATATGGTCGTTGTAAGTGGGTGTTAGACATATTGCAGTTGATCCCCAACCATTGGTGTATCATCATAGTTTTATCGATGCTTGAGGCACTTATATTATTTGCTTGTAAGGTCGATCGAGGGCGTTACCTCCATGAGAAGAGCTAGAGCAGTAGTTAAGGTTCATGATTAGTGACGGGGCGTCCGTGGTTCAAACCCGATCTTGGCATCTTGACTGTTCCCATTTGGGTTTAGACATTCTTGCAGTTTCCTATCCCTCGTACTTCCCTCGGCATGGCACCTAGGCACCGAAAAGGGCGTCTAAGCTGAACCATCCTTCACCCAGGTAAAATTAGTTCGGCTGATTTCTGAGACTGCCATGTAATGGAGGGAACTCTCAAACTCACGCGTTTTCGTCAGTTTAGTCAGCTAATTGGATAGCGAGGATCAATCGAGGACTTAAGAACTATCTCATCGTCGGTGCCCTGCCACACATAATGATATTCATTGAATTTCTCCTGCCCACATAACCGTCTACTCAAGTTGTGGCAAAAGAGTTAGAATTGAAAGTGTTCAACAATTGCTTGCCAGTGGCCTGCAATGAAACTGCTGTAACTCCTGAAAGAAGACAACCTCCGGCAAGCCCATTTTCCTCAGCTGAATCTCGAACTTCTGTCGCAGGCTGAAGCAGTCTCAGTCTGACTGACTACATTATGAATGCAAAGCCTCATGAACCTAATTATCGAAATCTGTTTGCGGACAAGTTCCGGGTAACCAGCTATGAGAGCCTTGAGACAACAGTGTGTAGCAGTGTAGGTCCCACGTTACCAAATCCTTTCAGTCGTAGATGCAAACGTTATGAGTAGATGAAAATTTTCGGACAAGGGGGTAAAACGTCTTCAGAATAGAGTTTAGAAAATCGACCTGAATAGGAGGTTAGATTGTGAAACAGTTCCTGTTTACTATACAACCATTACTATTATCTAAGGGATGGTAGTTAAAGTAGGAGAGTCCCAGTCTGTATCGAGGAAAGTTTCTTATATGGTGATATTATTTCCAATGAACTTTGGTTGATGGTTTTTTTTAGCTTATCAATGGCTATTCCTCGCCAAGTATAACCAAAAATGACCAATTACGTTAGTTCAAAGTAATTAGTAAACTGTAGAGAATATTTATTCGTTTTGGGTGACCCCTCCCATAGAAGGAGAACAATTCATGCTGGGTATGCTGTTGCTTATAAGGTTTAGTCTATGTTTGTTCTAACATTTTTGACCAAATTGCACTAATCGCCTGCCAAGCGCCAGCCTCACTGTGAATAGCAGACACTCCATAGAATCAAATCTATTCGGCTCTCTTTTGATGCTATGCAATCCGCCAAGAGACGTCTGTTGGTTTCCGTACCCACACACACTTAGAGCCGGATGAACTGATAAATTCCATCCATGAATGTGGTTTGGCCTGAACTATAAGACGCCGACAAAGTAGACTCTATACCAGATAGAATTTACCATACCTAATCGGAATGCGACTGTGAAGTTTCACGAGGAATCATTGACGTGCGCACGTGGCAGCGAGGTCAAAGTAGGTGGGAGTGTGGCGCATCCTTATCTTCGGAGCAATCATGCTCCGAAGTTTGTAGAATTTGCAATGTCCTGGCGTTTTTTTGGGAATGCGTCTGGATGAAAAGGCACTACGTTCGCGCGTACTCCATTTCCGAATTTACGTGCGTGATTTACATAATCTCAAATGATGAATGACCTCAGTGAATTTTCTGTAATCTACTTTTTCTGGGTGGCCATTAGTGGGATAACCTTCCTTGTGGACTTGGGTCTTTGGGTTCCAGGAGATACTGTCAACGCTCTCCTAAAAATGTAATGCTTACAAGTTAAAATGTTTCAGTACAGAATTTTAGTAACCCTGATGTCTTGTTGCTAAGGCATCTTACGGTGCCTCAGCAAGAACAGTGCTGTTGTGACGTGGCCATCCTTTACAAAATCTCTTTATATAAAGACCATTGTTTGTAGAACAATGTCCTGGCGTTTTTTTGGGAATGCGTCTGGATGAAAAGGCACTACGTTCGCGCGTACTCCATTTCCGAATTTACGTGCGTGATTTACATAATCTCAAATGATGAATGACCTCAGTGAATTTTCTGTAATCTACTTTTTCTGGGTGGCCATTAGTGGGATAACCTTCCTTGTGGACTTGGGTCTTTGGGTTCCAGGAGATACTGTCAACGCTCTCCTAAAAATGTAATGCTTACAAGTTAAAAT